TGTGAGCAAAGCTACAATTAAGTGCACAAATGAAGTCAAAGGTTATGTAACTCCCACACTTTCATCTGACATGTACACTGAAAAAAATAAGTCATTGGATGAACATAAAAAAATTATGGAAAGGATTTCCACCTGATTACTTTGCTTTATTTCAGCACCATGTACTTGTGTTACTCTTATTTAAAGCAAATGTGTTAGGTCAACCTAATTTATTAAGATTATTCCAATGTAAAGCAAATGTGTTGGCTCAACTTGTTACAATGGTGATTCAATGGGTGATTCTAAATCAAACATGTTGGCTCAACGTAATATATTGTGGTTATTCTTATATAAATAAAATGAGTTGGCAAAACATAATTCATTAAGGTTGTTCTAATTTAAACCAAATATGTTGGCTTAACCAGAATTATGGTAAGGCAATGGATGATTGTAAATCAAATGAGTTGGCTCAACTCCATTCATTAAGGTTATTCAAATTCAAATGAAATGTGTTGGCTCAACATATGTTTTAAAGGTTCCTTTAACTCAGTTACTGTAGCATGACCCAGTGTAGTGCAATACAGCCCGCCCAACTAATCTGTAATGTTTAGGACCAAATCATTGATGTAACTTCATTAAGATGAATGTAAATGCAGTTGAAACCACCTTATTTTACAGTGGTACCTTCACACTACCTGATTCAGTAGGTACAACTCACTAAAAGTAAGTTAGCTCAACAAATATGCTTCATGCTTAAAGACAACTAGTTAATCGTGTGGAAATCCTTTCCATTATTTCATGACGTTAATTCAAAGACATTTTTTCAAGCGTTAATCAAGCATTTTAAGATAGCACTAGGTGAAAGTGTAGGAAGAACACTCAACAATTAGAAAAGGTACAACACAATTGTATTTTCAGAATTGTTATACATCGTTTTTTTACACAGCACAAAACACAGCCGAGTTGGACATTGAAATAAAAAAACAACTACAAAAAGGTTACAGTTTTATTTCCCAGCCAATTCTTTACAACAACAGTTAACAACAGTTGGTCAACTTAGAGAACTGTAACAATATAAATCTTTTCTACTGCAGACTTTAAACACTCATTTTCCATATGAAACTTTACTCAACTTAGCAGCGAGTTTCATATTGAGAACTTGTGCTTTCTTTGATAAGTTCTTTCCATCCAATTTCATTATTATTTTCTGTATTACTTCAAAGGTATGCTTGAGTTACTGAGCAAGTTGAGTTCTGAACGCACTAAACTTGAGGGTAGCTCAAGTTTAGTGCGTAGATTAGTCCCAGCAGCATCACTATTGCAGAAGATACACTGCCCAAGCTGTTCATAACTTCCACCTCCTCCAGGACAATCCCAACATCCAGATGTGCATCGGCACCCTCTGCTCGAATGACGATTCCGAGGACAGTCTCGGCTTTGGCCATTTCATTCATCAACGTCCTAAGGGCGTTAGGGAAGGGTATTGGGGGGAGACAATTCACATGTAATTAAATAAATAAATTAGACTGACATTGATTGAATCACTCATGGACCTTAGTTGGTGAAAGTATTTTAACAACTCTTAGGAGTTCTATTGTAAACACAAAGAGAATTTAACATACCATGTACTCCCTCACCAGCTTCTCTGGATCTTCATTTAGGTACACACAGACCTTTGAGGATGCACTCTCGTCTGACCTCAGCAGTGTCTTCCTAAATATGCAGATCAAAAAACAATGAGAACAATCTCAAAACTCCAGCAGTATAGGTTCACACACTTGAAAACATAGCTACATTCAAAGGAAGTCACAACAAAAGTGATCAGTGGCTTGCAGTCTATTTGAAAGATATTTAAAATTGTTAGTATCCCTTCATTATGCCATGACTAAAATTGAGTTTAACATCTCATTTAAACATCTAACTGAAGCTGTTAGAGGTTTAAATAAAGACATGAATATATCACCAAAGAAATATGTGAAAAGTACAGAATGGTCAACACAGTCTATATCCTTCTACTTAAATGAATATGCAAAGCATTCCATGTCTTACAAGTACATGGACAGTCTATGTGTGGGCATGGATAACGTCGCATATGCCGGTGTTTAAGTGTAAAATGTTTTAACAGGTCATATCTACGAGACAGAGAGAGACTACACTCCTTACATTTCCACATCCCCACGCAAATAAAGACAAATAAAACAGACTGGCCAAATAAATGTTTAGCTGAACCCTAGCTTTATAAGCTCTCTAACACTACATTCAGTCACTTTAGATCTGGCAAAACTTACTATTAGCCACTGAAATCTATAACTTGATAGCCGATGAGCCCCTTGACCAGTACTTAAGCAGGTGGATTACAGACAGGTGATGTTCTGAAAGAGATCAGATATATTTTCAGCCATTAAAATATGCAATTCATACTGAACTGAGTTGTATCTTTTAGTACAAGTCCCTTGAATGCCTCATGAATATAACCACTGGACACTTGTATGCAAGCACATATGTGCAGAACAGCGGTGAATTGAATATGGTAGAAAGCAATAGTAACACAGGTCAAAATGAGCACAAACAATCAACACAAAAACATCAACATTTCAAAATTAAACCAATGAACTTCAATATTGTTTCTGAGCTACAATTATTTGGGGACAACAAAGAAGAGTCCAAAAAACCCCAACATCTTTACAGCAGAGGAATATGTATTTTAAAGAAAAAAATAGAAAGCTCAAGTCTGTAATAATGGATAATCCATTGAGAGTTTTAGCCTGACAAAATATACTAGAAATCCATAACTAACAGGTATTTTAGGAACATTTAACAAAGCTCAGAAAGCAATGCTTTCTGCAGGTTTCACCGACTGAAATGTAGGACTTTTTATTACCATAATTAATTAAGAATCTCGATGATGATAGAAAGGTACCAAAGTGTGTGTGTGTATCTACATTTACCTTCATAGTAACATTACTGAAATAGAATTAAAATAGTTAGAAATAGACTGATGTTAGATCCGTGTGTTAAAATCCTCTAAACCTCCAGGGAGCTCAGGAGGAGCAAAACTGTGATATTTCTGGGGTCCATTTGTGTCTCTGGCAGCAGCTTTGTACACTACATATGGCTCTGCAGACTTTTTTCGCACAAAATGTACCTAACATGGTGCGGCGATAAATGTAAACAAAAAGCTATCTGCCTTAACCTAACCGACTTAATCTACAGAACATGAAATAATGTGACACAAGTATGGAACAAGTAGAAAATGGTGCAAATGGTAGAGAAATTTTAAGTTACATATTTTTATATGGATTTAGATGAAAATAGATTGACTCTTACCTTCTTCAAATTAAGTGGATGCACGCCAGGAATCTCCCCTCTGCCCTTGAAAAAACCCAACAAGGTGCAAGCCAGTTATCTCGCGTGATTTTCCGTAATCTCTTGATGTCGCTGGATCCTCTTCAGCGGGAGATGAGTCTGACACAATAGCGCTTTGGAACTGACGTCACTGTGTTTTTTTTTTAATGAGATTAACTTTGACAAATATTGATATTGAATAAAATAAAATTATATATAAAATATGCAAACATATATATATATATATAATATATATATATATATATATAGAGGGTCCTGCGCAGTATCTTGGCTGTGCCAAGATACTGCGCAGGACCAAGCAGTATCTTGGTCCCAGGCCCAGAGGATAAGAACCACCCGCGGTGGGTATATATATGTTAATTAGATGTATTCAAGTTGAGATAACGTCATTCAATCACGTTAGCTCACCTTGAATACATTTTAGTTCAGTTGAGAGAAAAAACCGATTGTCTCGCGTGTTCTCGCGTGATACCCCGTGATCTCACTCGTTGTCGTCAGCACAATATCAGTCTGACTATAATGAATCATGTTAGCTCAACATGATTCAATTTTATAAATGTGAAGTCGTGGAATATCTTGTTTATCCAACATGATTTTATCACGTTTTCGCTTCAAACCCAACATTATTGTGTGAAAGGTACATGATATTTTTTTGTCAATGTAATACGCCCCGACGTTCTTTTTTTTTCGGCGGAAGATCTAGCTGACGTAATTGAATCACGTTATCTCACCTTGAATACATTTTATTCCATTTGCGAGAGAAAACCGATTGTCTCGCGTGTTCTCGCGTGATATCCCGTGATTTTCCGTAATCTTGCGTGAACTTGCGTGATATCCCGTGATCTCACTCGTGGTCTTCAGCATAGGATCGGTCTGACTATAATGAATCATGTTAGCTCAACATGATTACATTTTATAAACGTTGAAGTTGTGGAATATCTTGTTTATGCAACATGATTGTATCATGTTTTTAGCTCAAACATGGAATTATTTAGTTAACAGTACATGATATTCTTTTGTTAATGTGATAACCCCTGAGGTTCCTTTTTTACAGTGTATTTATTATTTGCTGAGTTCTGGATTTATTTGCATTTGTCACTCACCTTTTTGTGACATTTTCACAAAGTAGAAGTTAGTATTCTATTAACTAAAAAGACGTCAACATTTTCAAGTTACATATAATCATGTTTTCATCAACTACAGAATTATTCAATAAATCAGATTATTATTGAAAAGTCGCCAATTGAAACTCATTTTATTGATTAACAATAAAAGATGCTTTCTGAAAACATAAACATGAGTATAATGAAAGTATACATACTTTTAATCTGACAAACAAGTCGCACTGGGACAGATGTATATATTCTAGCTTACTGGAGATGACTGTATACTTAATAAATTATTGTTAACTAAGACAAAAAACACTGGTCAATGTTCAGTTCTTCAACCTTTATTTAAACCAGGTTAAATAATTTGAGCTCAAATAGTTGTTTTACAGGAGTATCCTGACAACAATACATTTAAACAGTTACAAAAACACAGAATTAACACAGTTTTCAGATTCAGATATTGGTGCAAAACTGCAGAGCAGAAGTATGCAAATGAAGAACAATAAAAAGCAGACCTAACACAAAGAAACTGTCAGTCAACAAGTCAATGCTCAGTCAACATTGAGGCTGCAGATATGGCAGAGGAGGAACTTTACTATGCTTCGGTGACTATAAAAAATAAGATAGAGCTTCAACCAAGAGGTAAGTTCATCTTTGGCATAAATTACATATATTGTACACATGTACTCAGTTTCAGTTTTTGCTAATTGATCATTTTGATGATGTGAAAAGTCTTTCCATGCAAAAAGTTATCTTTGGCCTCAGATCTATTAAATAAAATTAGTTCTTAGCCACAAAACTTTCATGTTCTTTTGAATAAAAAATAATTGGTCAAGACTTAAATTACAAATATATTTTATTGGGTTTCTAAATCAGCAAATATACAAAAAAAGCATGACTATATCTACTATTTTGGTTATAAAATACATGAAGCATAAGCTTTTATAGAATGACTGGATGTCACTCATTAAAATGTTAGAAATGTTTGGCAGCCAAGCAGCTCAGTTGGTGGAGCAGGTGCACCAGGTGCACCAGGTGCAGAGGGTGTAATGCCCAACTCTGTTGTCTCTGGGTTCGACTCCCAGTCTCAGACAATATGCATGTCTCTCCCTCTTTCTTGTCATGTTACTGTTCATTAAAATCCACTAATGCCAAAAAGATTGTTAAAAAAAAGGACTGAAATGATCATTTCTCTCATTCCATAAATGCTGTTAAACTCATGGATCTTCTAACTTGTCAGTTAAAAATGAGAATGAGACCATATATGATGAAGTGAAGGTGAACAAAGAACCACCTGAGGGTAAGTAAAACAAATCCACAAATTCTTAAGCAGAGTGTATGTTTTTATTTTTCCTTTATATGGTTAAACACATTGTTACATTAAGAAGATAAATAAGCAAAGCAATGCTGAAATCTAATGCATTCAATAATTTTATATCACTTTCTTTATACCTGAGGAACCTTTGCAGGTAAAATAAACGGTGTCCCATGAAACAAACCTCATTTTCTTATCTGAAAAGATCAGGTCAAAATATAAAATCTGTGAAAGTTTTAATGGAAATTGTAAAAGTGTTTTTTTTAGCTTCTGTGAAATAGAAATTCTCTTGAAAGATAAGTTTAAATTTCAGCAAATCAATTCTTAGGAACATGTTATAAAACAAGATAATGTTTTAATCTTTTTAGCTAAAACAGAGAAAGAAGCTGAAGTGGAGAAGCAGAATGAAACTGTTCAACAAACACCTGACCAAACAGGTACGTTTATAAAAAAGAGGAAAGAACAATATATTATCAAAGTTTCCATTTAAAGGGCAACGTTTTTATACTTTATGTTACGTATTTTTCTGTATATGGGGAAATTGGGTTTTTGAGGTTTTCTCCTCTGGTTTTTATTTGCCCCAAATTATTTGGAACAACAAACTCAGTTCAATATCCAAGACAGAAGGAATAGTCAAATTATTTATTATAAAACTGGTGCATCTTTGACAAATGCAGTCATTATGTTATTGTGTTATAAAACAACTTAAAATTTCATTTCAGATAAAACAATGGAAAAATATGACTTGGAGAAGCAAAATGAGAGTGTTCAGAAAACTCATGACACAACTGGTAAGATTATAAAAAAGATGAAAACAATTTATTATCATAAAATTAGAAATAGTTTTTCTATTTGTGTTAAAAAATTTTATATCAGAGAAAACGGATTTGGAAGGAAACTCAGCTGTTTGTTGTTGTTGTTTTACCCAATGGATATGAAAAATTTGCAGCAGGAATAGATTTGCTACAAGACTTGGTGCATTCTTAATTAGATATGTGGTTATCTTAAGAACACTTACAAGATTCCAGTTTTTTGAATTGATTGAGCCTATTTCAAGTCTGTCATTTATGTTGTGTTGTATAATATGGATTATCATCAAAAATTCTACATAAATATCCAGTTATTCAATAAAATATTGTTGTCTGCAAAAATACAAATTCTTATGAGAAAAAATTTCCACTACACTGTTCTAAAAATATGTTTCTTCTGCTTTTTAAAGGTTTTCATGGTAAAACATACATAGTTTATGAAATGTCTGTTTAAATACATGGAGAAACACACTGACAGAGGTGATTAGTTTATTTGATTAAATATGCTGACATTCCATAGTCAAATTTATTAAATGATTCTGAATGGTCAGAAATCCAGAGTAGAAACGGGCCGGATGAACCAGACGGTACCGTGCTGCAGTGGTGGAAGGTAGTGTTTCACTGACGTTGAGGTGCACATCAGTTCATGATCTTCTTCCTGCATTGAAAAGGCTGAAACACACAAAATAAAACCTATCCAGGATGAATTGAATTAATATTGACATAAAAGACAGTCCTTTTCTTTTTGATGTTGAAGCAAAAATATTGTATTTATATTTGCTATAGAAAAACAGGGGAGCAAAAGAGCTGTTCCCGGTTTTAAAGTTTCTTTTCTTTTCTTTATTTCTACCAGTAAAGGAAGCAGAAAGATGTCGCCGCTATCAGCAGCTGTGTTGCTGTTTTGGGACTCTCTGTGTCATTTTGGTACTCAGCGTCATTGGAGTCTGTGTTTATTGTAAGAAAGCCATGAATGATGTGAACAAAACACAACATTAGATACAATTTTCTAATAATATTTTAGGAGCAAACATTTGTTTATCCTAATGTTAAAAAAAAATTAAAATGAAAGAGTTACATTTATGTTTTTTTCTTCAATTTTGATAAAGTAATTTTTTATTTCTGTTCCAACAGTTCATGTGAGCAGTGCAAGTGAACTGAACCAGCTGAAATCATCCCAGCAGGTTCTGCTGGAGGAGAATCAGAACCTGACAAACCTCAACAACAAACTCAGTTCAGATAATAAAAATCTAACGATTCAGTTTGACAACCTGACTATGGCTTCTCATGCCTTAGAAACCAACATCACCATGCTGACTGTAGAAAACTACAACCTGACTATGGCTTCTCATGCCTTAGAAAACAACATCACCATGCTGACTGTAGAAAACTACAACCTGACTATGGCTTCTCATGCCTTAGAAAACAACATCACCATGCTGACTGTAGAAAACTACAACCTGACTATGGCTTCTCATGCCTTAGAAACAACATCACCATGCTGACTGTAGAAAACTACAACCTGACAATGGCTTCTAAGGCCTTAAAAAACAACATCACCACACTGACAGCAGAGAATCACAACCTGACTTCTCTTAATGAGGAGCTGAAGGAACAAAAGAAAAACCTCACAGAAATAATAAAAAACATGGAGGAAACCTGGGATGGTCTCAATGTCAGTCGAGCTCAATGGAGCATTGATGAATACTGTCCTAAAACAAATGCTGGTATGTTCATATTTTAAACAGTTTCTGCTGAATTACATAATCATGTTTAAAATAATAATAATAATAATGATATTCTGTAAACATATTTATTGATGGAATATTTTTGTTCAAGGGAGAAGTTGCAATAATTGCCAGAAAGGCTGGACTTACAAACCATCCAGTTGTTATGCTTTTAACGATGCTCCACCGTCTGAACAACTGACCTGGGAAGATGCACGAAAACAATGCAAACAGAAGATTTCAGATCTGACTGTTGTTTCTAACCAGACAGAAAAGGTAATGGAAGAACAATTTTAATGGATTATAAATGTACACTGACTGATGAAATTGTAGAATCAATCATTTTGAGTGTTTAGTCAGTTTTCAGTCAACATATAAACAGAATTCTCTCTTCTAATTCCTCAGGATTATGTCCAAACACAAAGTCCTGCTGTTTCACACATTAATGGATACTGGATTGGTCTCAGAGCTGTAGGAGGGAAATGGAAATGGACTGATGGAAGTGATCTGACCAATCAGTGAGACACACATTGTTTCTTAAGCTTTGTTTAAAACAAATCTTTGAGCCTTGATTTAATTGATGTTTTTCCTTAGAGCCTGGATGCAACAACCTGCAACTGATGGTCAATGTGTAACTTCTCGCCAGTACCGAGAATGGAGATCTGAGAGCTGTACTAATAGAAACTCCCGGATCTGTGAGAAGAAGGCTTTATCTGTATAAACATGAAATGTTGAGAGTTTTGACAAGCTGTTTGGAAAACCTTATTTCAGAATTATGCAAATTTCTGGTTAAATTTTTTACAAGCTCATTTTAAAAGGCTTTAAAAGTTTCACATGTTTTTCTGATGATTTGTCTGAAAGTTGTAAATTTAAAGTTTATCAACAGAATCAAAAGCCAGACAAAATGATTTTTATGGTTTCTGAAGTTTTTACTGATAGTTTTTGAAATAACTTTGCATGGCTTCAGCATGATTTTAGGATTCCCACTGCCTGTGAATCTTTTTTCAATAGTTAACTTAATTAATTAGTGTATATAACTATTACTGAACTTATTTTGTGCAATCTATTACACACAATAACCCAATTCTTACTTTTTAGATGAGAATAAAAAAATGTCTGTCATTTCTGTTTCTGCCATTTTTTCCTATTATACAGCTTGTCTGTTAGGTTCATCTACATAAGCATTTCAAATAGGAAAAGAAGAGAGAGAGACAAATTAGATTTACTTACATGAGGAAGTAAATCTAAAATGTCATTCAGTTTTATATTTAATTTTTTTTTTAAACTGCACAAGTAGTTTTACGTTTTTTTCCCTTTCTCCTCCTTTCAAGGAGAAAGAACAGGAACTTGCTTCAGTTACAATTTCTGAAGCCAGCTCTGCATCACCCTCTCTTTTTATTTCCTTAGGGCAGTCCCAGTTACATATCATATCTTGAATTAATCATGTAGAGTAGCTGCTTCTTCAGTTTTCTTTAGTCACAGATGTGTTGCACCTACGGGATGCCGTGATGTATAGTGCAAAGTTCAGAGTTCCAGTTTACTTCCTTCTTTGGCAACAATGCAGGAAATGATCAATTCATAGTCATAAACTTTGACCCTTATCCTTTGGCTGCAGAAAGCTGGTATCTCCTTCCAATTTGAAATGCTGAGATATCTTCTAAGCATCTCTCACAAGGCTCACATTCCAGAAGCAAACAGATAGAGTATTTATATTTGTAATTAATTTAAATGTATCATTATTAATTTGTGAGGCCTGATTTTGATGAAGGACTGCACAAAGATGACATTAAATCTCTACACATTAAGAAAACAGTCTGAGTTTGGAAGTGAATCTTTAAGTTATGTTCCCTTGAATTGATGCAGTTTTCTGGTGTAGGTCATATTATTGCCTTTTCATATTACTGCAGCTTTAAAACATCACAGATAGAAAATAGAAGAAGTACACAAGCCTGAGAGAAAGTTCACTATATCACTGTGGTATTATGGTCTGTCTCGACCACAAAAAGAAGATTATGGCTGTTTGTCAAACCTCAAGCAGCCGTAACACTCAGTTGTACAATTTTATAGTGATTTATTTACAAGATTTTAGTGTAAATATTATTTTAACACTGAAAATGAGTTATGAGCAACTTTTGGGTGAACTTTATGTCTAAAACAATAAACAAAAGTAATCTAAAGTACCAACCAAACTGAAATATTCAGAAATGTTGCTGGTTAACATGAGTGGAGGAAAAGGATGAAGAGTGTGTTACAGAGTCATCTTCTAAGTCTCCTCTGCTTAGATAAGCGGCCCATACTTGGTGTCCTTAGTCCACTAATCATGATTTACATATTGAAAACAATGCAACACCTAACAACAGCAGTTGTAGCACCACAACAATTAAACATGGCCCTAAATGTTTCTGAGAAAGGCACTAAAACTAGACATTACCCTTATTCTTTTTACAATTTATCTACAAGTTAAAAACTGTAACAAACTCAGTAAGAAACACTGATGGATTGATTGATCCAACATAAACATCAAAGCTCTGTAACTTCCAAATGCCACCATTTTGTACTGGAATACCTTTAAGAAATATGTTCATAATTCAGTGTTTATTCATTTTTTATGATATATTAGATTTGTAAATGAATAATTCAACCTGCACCAGTCATTATTTCTCTATATGTTTATCAAATAATACATGACAGACATTGTAATCAAGAACAACATTTTAATGCAGGTGAACAGTCACTGCTTTTGTTTCATGTAATATACTATTATATTTCTCTCTCTGATGAAAATCTTGCTCCACTACAACTAGCAAAAGGTTGATGTAGCATCTTCACTCTGATTTGGTTATTATTTGACATTTACTTTTCGAGATCCTGGGTTAAAATGTATTTGTCAACATTTTTTTTCTTCTTTTTTTTTCATTTTCACCATGTACAAGTGAGTATTATATTAGAAATTTAAAACACATTTAAATTCTAAGTTACAAATTATCATGTTTTGTAAAGAATGCAAAAACAAAACATCTTCCGAAGTATTTTAAACCAGATTTTAGTGCAAATATATCAGTACACTTGAAATAAGACAAAACTGACTTATATGTAAACTGTCAGCAAGACATATGTTTGTTTTAAATCAATGATTTGATAATATTGAGGAAAAAGTATTAACTTCATTGACAGATTAATTAGCTTAAAACAAGACATTTTTCGCACTTTAAAGGTGAAACAATCGACCAAATGAAACAGTAATTATTCAACCATATAAAGAATTTATTTACCTAAAACAATCTCCTTTATCTTACAGAAAAGTTACTTCTGAGTCAGTTTTCCCTTATTTCAATACCACTAAGATATTTGCACTTGATTTTGTGTTTTTGTAGTGAACTTACTTAATTATTCTTTACAGCAAGCAAGAAAAGCAAAGAGCCATGAAACACATACATGCTGGTCAATGTTTAGTTGATTAAGGGGTTGACTGAAATGAAAAAGCAGAAGTATGCAAATCAAGAGCAATAAAAAGATGCACAAATAGAGGAAACATCTGCCTCTTTCCTATTACATCTCATTTCAGTTCTGATTCAGTCTATGAGTTCAATAAATCAACATTAAGGCTGTAAATATGGCAGAGAAGCAGCCCCAATCACAAGGTAAGTTAATTTGATTCTGCATGAATTAAAAATATATTCTCTAACATTTTAACTCAGTCTGCATCTTTCCAAATGCCAGGGGTTTTCAGACCTTTTGTCAAAAGAGTCAAAAGTAATCACAGGTCAAAGAAATTATTTTTGAAAATGTAACATTCCCCACAATTATGTAGAGAACATATTTAACTCTGTGGTGGCATCATCCATCTCCTATGGTGTAGATATGTTTATTTCCAGCTAAAAGGCAGCAGTTATGTTCATCAGGAAGAATAGCTCTGTCTGAACATGGCCTCCTTACTCAGTTTAAATGACAAACAGAAGAACTTTTGTTAAAATAAATCTGTTATTGAGCGAGAGAGCAGTTGTTAAACTTTCTGAGCATCACAGCTCCCAACAAACTCCGACATATGTCACATATTGTACTTTTTTTTAATGCCAATGCTCAGTTTCACATTTATTTTTATCTGAACAAAATATGTTTAATACCTGTATGGTTTTATTCTATGGATTACGTTTTTGCTAATTGTAGAGTCTGTTATTCCTACTTTTTCTGGTTATCATGACGTGCTGCCATAATTGTCCCATTGTGGCACAAAAGATTGATTTAATGTACCAGTTAAGCGATATACAATATTTTTTTTATCAAACAAAAAAGCTTTTCTTTTGTTAAAAATGTTGATTTTGGTCAAGAAATGGCTCAGAAATCCCTCATCCACAACCAGAATATTGTTATATTCAAGTTCAACTTCAATTTAATTTCTTGAACATTTTTGCAAAATGTTTTTCACCTTGAAATAAATTGATTAGCATATTAGAAATAATATTGATTAGTTAGTGCTTTAGTTGTGCTGAGTATTTTTAATGTGTTGCTTTTTAGAACAGCACATGACCCAGTTCTGCATTTCATGTTTCTGATAGGGGAAACTATGCCAGATAGTTCCTAATTTGTGTTGCAACATATATTATTTGGTTTATAATTCAGTTCAAACGTCTGTTTTATTTCTTTGAATGTAGCTGTCTGGGAGAGAGCATGAAACTATAGTGCCTTGCAAAAGTATTCACACCTCCTGAACTTCAACTTCAATGCATTTAATCTGGATTTTATTTGATAAAAATGCACCAAACAACTTAGAAGTGGAATTTGCAACACAACAATACTGACAAGTGAAAAACATTTTGCAAAAGGTGAAAAACATTTTGCAAAAATGTTCAAGAAATTAAATTGAAGTTGAACTTGAATATACCAATATTCTGGTTGTGGATGAGGGATTTCTGAGCCATTTATTGACCAAAATCAACATTTTAACAAAAGAAATATAATATAACATATATTGGTTCAGATTAGCTAATAATTTAAAGATGATGGTCTTACATCTGAAGATTCTAACTTTTATATGTTATAAATGTCATATTTATCTTATTTTTAAAAGTTGTTTATATTGAAACTGAGTAGAAAGCAAAATTTAACTCTAAAATATTTTTTTTTTCTTAAGCAATTTTCATTTTTTTAGTTACAGCAATTCATGAGAGCACTTCAAATGAGCTGAACCAGCTGAAATCATCCCAACAGGTTCTGCTGGAGGAGAATCAGAACCTGACAAACCTCAACAACAAAACTCAGTTCAGATAATAAAAATCTAACGATTCAGTTTGACAACCTGACTATGGCTTCTCATGCCTTAGAAAACAACATCACCATGCTGACAACAGAAAAATCCAACCTGACTTCTCTTAATGAGGAGCTGAAGGAACAAAAGAAAAACCTCACAGAAAAAAATAAAAAACATGGAGGACCTGGGATGGTCTCAATGTCAGTCGAGCTCAATGGAGCATTGATGAATACTGTCCTAAAACAAAAGCTGGTATGTTCATATTTTAAACAGTTTGTGCTTGCTACTTTATGTTTAAAAAATAATACGGTAATGATTTTATGTAAACATATTTATTAATGGGATATTTTTATTTAAGTGAGAATTTGCAATAATTGCCAGAAAGGCTGGAATCACAAACTTTCCAGCTGTTATGCTTTTAACGATGGTCCAAACATCTGAACACCTGACCTGGGAAGATGCAAGAAAACAATGCAAACAGATGATTTCAGATCTGACTGTTGTTTCTAACCAGACAGAAAAGGTAATGGAAGAACAATTTTAATGGATTATAAATGTACACTGACTGATAAAATTGTAGAATCAATCATTTTGAGTGTTTAGTCAGTTTTCAGTCAACATATAAACAGGATTCTCTGTTCTAATTCCTCAGGATTTTGTCCAAACACAAAGTCCTGCTATTTCACACATTAATGGATACTGGATTGGTCTCAGAGCTGTAGGAGGGAAATGGAAATGGACTGATGGAAGTGATCTGACCAATCAGTGAGACACACATTGTTTCTTAAGCTTTGTATAAAACAAATCCTTGAGCCTTGATTTAATTGATGTTTTTCCTTAGAGCCTGGATGCAACAGCCTGCAACTGATGGTCAATGTGTAACTTCTCGCCAGGACCGAGAATGGAGATCTGTGAGCTGTACTGATAGAAACTCCCGGATCTGTGAGAAGAAGGCTTTATCTGTTTAAACATGAAATGTTGAGGTTTTTGACAAGCTGTTTGGAAAACCTTATTTCAGAATTATGCAATTTTCTGGTGAAATTTTTTCACAAGTTCATTTTAAAAGGCTTTACAAGTTTCACATGTTTTTCTGACAATTTATACATTTAAAGTTTATCAACAGATTCACAAATCAGACAAAATGATATGTATGGTTTCTGAAGTTTTTACTGATGGTTTTTGAAAGAACTTTGCATGGCTTCAGCATGATTTTAGGATTCCCACTGCCTGTGAATCTTTTTTCAGTAGTTAACATAATTAATTATGTGTATATAACTATTACAGAAGTTATTTTGTGCAATCTATTACACACAATAACACAATTGTTGTTTTTAAAGATGAGAATAAAAAAATGTCTGCCATTTTTCTTTCTGACATGTTTTCCTATTATACAGCTTGTCTGTTAGGTTCATCTCCAGGATTAGAGGACTAATGTCTCAACCAGATCTAGAGAAACTCATCCATGCGTTTAACTTTAGTCGCATTGATTATTGCAACAGCGTCTTCACAGGTCTGTCCAACAAATCAATCAAACAGCTGCAGATGATCCAGAAGCTGCTGCTTGTGTTCTCACTAGAACCAGGAAGATAGAGACATAACACCAGTTTCAAAGTCCCTCCACTGGCTCCCTGTAGCTCAGAGAATAAACTTTAAAATTCTGCTGTTACTTTATGAATCACTGATCAACTTGGCGCCACAATACATTAAAAATCTGCTGTTGTTGTAGCAACCTTTCAGAGCTCTCAGGTTGTCTGGTTCTGGTTCTGTTCTGCATTTCCAGAACCAGAACCAAAAGAGGAGAAGCAGCTTTCAGCATCTACGCAAAAAAAAAAAAAAAAAAAAAAAAAAAAAAAAAAAAAATGGGAACAAACTTCCAGAAAATTGTAAAACAACAGAAAACCCTGACTTCCTTTAAATCTCAACTAAAAACAAACTTGTTTAGATGTTATTTGAAATGTAATATGTAAACAATGTATAGTTTATTCCATGATGCATGACTTTGTGTTTTTGATGTAAAGCACTTTGAAATGCCTTGCTGCTGAAATGTGCTATACAAATAAAATTTGATTTGATTTTTTGATTTAAGAAACACTGATGGATTGATTGATCCAACATAAACGTCAAAGCTCTGTAACTTCCAAATGCCACCATTTTGAACTGGAATACCTTTCATAGATATGTTCATAATTCAGTGTTCCTTCATTTTTTCATGATAGATTTGTAAGTGAATAATTCACCCTGCATCTGTCATTATTTCTCTATATGTTTATCAAATAATACATGACAGACATTGTCATCAAGAAAAAACATATTAATGCAGGTGAACAGTCACTGCTTTTGCTTCTTGTAATGTCATTATATTTCCCTCTCTGTTTGTATTAAGTCAATGATTTGTTAATATTGAGGAAAAGTATTAGCTCCACTGGCAGATTAATTAGCTTATAATAATACATTTTCTCCACATTAAAGGTGAAATAATCGTCCAGAACAAACAGGAATTTTTCAGCCATATAAAGAATTTATTTACCGAAAACAATCTCCTTTATCTTACAGAAAAGTTACTTCTGAGTCAGTTTTGCCTTATTTGAAAAGCACTAAGAGATTTGCAATGTTTGAATTTGTGTTTTTGTAGTGCACTTACATAATTATTTTTTATAACAAATTAGAAAAGCAAAGAGACACTAAAGCACATAAATGCTGGTCAAAGTTGATTTGATTTAGGCTTTGACCCTAATGAAAAAGCAGAAGTATGCAAATCAAGAGCAAAAAAAGGAAGCAACAACAGAGGAAACATCTACCTCTTCCTATTACATCTCATTTGAGTTTTGATTCAGTCTACGAGTTAAATCAAGATCAACATTAAAGCTGTAAATATGGCAGAGGAGGACGTGAGCTATGCTTCACTGAACATCAAAAGTAAGAAGCAGCCCCAATCACAAGGTAATTCTCAAATTAAATTATAACATTTTAACTCAGTCTGCATCTTTCTAAATGCCAGGGGTTTTCAGACCTTTTGTCACAGAGTCAAAAGTAATCACAGGTCAAGGAAATTATTTTTGAAAATGTAACATTCCCCACAATTATGTAGAGAACATATTTAACTCTGTGGTGGCATCATCCATCTCATATGGTGTAGATATGTTTATTTCCAGCTAAAAGGCAGCAGTTATGTTCATCAGGAAGAATAGCTCTGTCTGAACATGGCCTCCTTACTCATTTTAAATGACAAACAGAAGAACTTTTGTTATAATAAATCTGTTACTGAGCGAGAGAGCAGTTGTTAAACTTTCTGAGCATCACAGCTCCCAACAAACTCTGATCTGTGCACACAGTCACATATTGAACTTCATTTCATGCCAAAGTTCAGTTGCACATTTATTTTTTATCTGAACAAGATATGTTTACTACCTGTATGGTTTTCTTCTATGGTTTAAGTTTTCGCTAACTGCAGAGTCTGTTATTCCTATATATTCTGTTTATCATGACCTGCTGCTGGTGTTTATGATGACCTATTGCTGAATTTTTACATTGTGGCAAAAAAGGCTAGTTCTAATGTATCTATTTCATTCCTTCTTTCCAGTTATGCAGGAAATTAAATATATAATATTATTTTTATCAAACAATAAAGCTTTTCTTTTCAAGATGTTAATCTTGGTCAATAAATGGCTCAGATATCCCTGATCCACAAACTGAAAATTATTAATATATTCATGTTCAACCTTAATTTGAATTTCTTGAACATTTATTGAAAATCAACTTGAAATAAATTGATTGGCATTAGAAATTATATTGGTTAGTTAGTTGTGCTAACATTAGTGTTTGACATTTAGAAAAATTGTCAAAAATGTTTAGTCAAATATTTAGGTTTCACTAAATGTTTTTTTAAATCACTGGTCTTTCAGGCAAAAATGAGAATGAGACGATATATGATGAAGTTAAGGTGAATGAAGAGGGTAAGTATGAAATAGTAAAGATTTTTAAGTTTAACTATAAGAATCCTTATAAAGTTCTTGAAGACCAATATAAAATGTCCAACCTTTTCAGCTAAAGCAGTGGATGATACTGAAGTGGAGAACCAGAGTGAACGTTTTCAGCAAACTCTTGACAAAAAGGGTAAGTTTACAAAAAAGAAAGATGTATTCTCTTAAAGTTCTCATTATTTGCCCCAATTCTAAGGACAAATTAGTTTCACGTGGAAACATGTCAAATGCTGGTTAGCTAAATTTTCATTCTTTTTTGATGTTTCCCTTTTTTGAAGATAAATGAGAGAAAAAATTGTTCTCCTTTTACACTGACGTTAAGAGATTTCTATGAAATTTAAAAAAAAATCTTAATGAAAATTATTAAATGTTTTTATTGCTGTTTTCCATTGGAAATTTTAAAACAATCATGATCCAACACTATGGTATTTGCGTTGTTTATTCAAATCCATATCAGTCATTGTTTTCTTGGACAAAACACTTCATCAGCTTTACCTGCAGATTTCATGGCAGCCTTGTTCCTGTCATTTAGCTCCAGGGCAGCTGTGGCATAATGGTGAATGTATTGCCCTGCATTGGAGTTCTCTTGACTGGATAAAGTGCCATTGCAATTATAGGCTATTTATTAGTATTAGAGAGTGGAGTTTTTCTTTTTGTAATAAAGTAGAAATATTTATCTACAGCTGCAGACATAAAGGATAATAGAGGCTTCTGTCTGTTTAAATTTTAAATTTCATCTTTGTTATTTTAATCTCTGTAGAACTTCTGCCAGACAAGGCAGCAGAAAGATGTCGCCGCTATCAGCAGCTGTGTTGCTGCTTTGGGACTCTGTGTGTCATTTTGGTGCTGAGTGTCATTGGAGTCTGTGTTTATTGTGAGTATACAAAACTAAAAGGCCATGAATGTGATTTCTGTACATTTGATATGATCTTTCTTATAACTTTGTTAGTTTATAAAACAGTTCAATCTTCAACAAAAAACTGTAATAGTGCTGGATCTTCTATTTCAGCTGGCAGGATTATTGGTTCAGATTAGCTAATAATTTAAAGATGACGGTCTTACATCTGAAGATTCTAACCTTTATATGATATATATGTCATATTTATCTTTTTTTTAAAGTTGTTTTTATTGAAACTGAGTAGAAAGCAAAATTCAACTCTAAAATATTTTTTTTCATAATTCGATTTTCATTTTTTTAGTTACAACAGTTTCTGAGAGCACTTCAAATGAGCTGAACCAGCTGATATCAACCCAAAAGGAAAAAATCCAAAACCTGACTGACCTCAACAACAAACTCAGTTCAGACAAATCCAACCTGACTTCGGTTTCCATGGCCTTAAAAAACAACATCACCACACTGACAGCAGAGAATCACAACCTGACTTCTCTTAATGAGGAGCTGAAGGAACAAAAGAAAAACCTGACAGAAATAATAAAAAACATGGAGGAAACCTGGGATGGTCTCAATGTCAGTCGAGCTCAATGGAGCATTGATGAATACTGTCCTAAAACAAATGCTGGTATGTTCATATTTTAAACAGTTTGTCCTGAACTACATTATCATGTTTAAAAAAATAATAATAATGATGATATTCTGTAAACATATTTATTGATGGAATATTTTTATTTAAGGGAGAAGTTGCAATAATTGCCAGAAAGGCTGGACTTACAAACTTTCCAGCTGTTATGCTTTTAGCGATGGTCCACCGCCTGAACAACTGACCTGGGAAGATGCACAAAAACACTGCAAACAGATGATTTCAGATCTGACTGTTGTTTCTAACCAGGAAGAAAAGGTAATGGAAGAACAATTTTAATGGATTATAAATGTACACTGACTGATGAAATTGTAGAATCAATCATTTTGAGTGTTTAGTCAGTTTTCAGTCAACATATTAACATAGTTTTGTGTTCTAATTCCTCAGGATTATGTCCAAACACAAAGTCCTGCTATTTCAGGCATTAATGGATACTGGATTGGTCTCAGAGCTGTAGGAGGGAAATGGAAATGGACTGATGGAAGTGATCTGACCAATCAGTGAGACACACATTGTTTCTTAAGCTTTGTATAAAACAAATCCTTGAGCCTTGATTTAATTGATGTTTTTCCTTAGAGCCTGGATGCAACAACCTGCAGCTGATGGTCAATGTGTAACTTCTCGCCAGGACCGACAATGGAAATCTGTGAACTGTACTGATAGAAACTCCCGGATCTGTGAGAAGAAGGCTTTATCTGTTTAAACATGAAATGTTGAGGTTTTTTGACAAGCTGTTTGAAAAACCTTATTTCAGAATTATGCAATTTTCTGGTTGATTTTTTTTTACAAGCTCATTTTAAAAGGCTTTACAAGTTTCACATGTTTTTCTGACAATTTGTCTGAAAGTTGTAAATTTAAAGTTTATCAACAGAATCAAAAGCCAGACAAAATGATTTTTATGGTTTCTGAAGTTTTTACTGATGGTTTTTGAAATAACTTTGCATGGCTTCAGCATGATTTTATATTCCCACTGCCTGTGAATATTTTTTCAATAGTTAACGTGATTAGTGTATATATCTATTACTGAACTTATTTTGTGCAATCTATTACACACAATAACCCAACTCTTACTTTTTAGATGAGAATAAAAAAATGTCTGTCATTTCTGTTTCTGCCATTTTTTCCTATTATGTAGATGTTAGGTTAATCTACATAAGCATTTTCAAATAGGAAAAGAAGAGAGAGAGACAAATGAGTTTTAGATTTACTTACACGAGGAAGTAAATCTAAATCTTCCTTATTCAGTTTTATATTTAAATTTTTTTTAAAACAGCACAAGTAGTTTTACGTTTCTTTCCCTTTCTCCTCCTTTCAAGGAGAAAGAACAGGAACTTGCTTCAGTTACAATTTCTGAAGCAAGCTCTGCATCACCCTCTCTTTTTATTTCCTTAGAGCAGTCCCAGTTACATATCATATCTTGAATTAATCATGTAGAGAAGCTGCTTTTTCAGTTTTCTTTAGTCACAGATGTGTTGCACCTACTGGATGCCGTGATGTATAGTGCAAAGTTCAGAGTTCCAGTTTACTTCCTTCTTTGGCAACAATGCAGGAAATGATCAATTCATAGTCATAAACTTTGACCCTCATCGTTTGGCTGCAGAAAGCTGGTATCTCCACCCAATTTGAAATGTTCAGATATCTTCTAAGCATCTCTCACAAGGCTCACATTCCAGAAGCAAACAGATAGAGTATTTATATTTGTAATTAATTTAAATGTATCATTATTAATTTGTGAGGCCTGATTTTGATGAAGGACTGCACAAAGATGACATTAAATCTCTACACATTAAAGCAAACAATCTGAGTTTGGAAGTGAATCTTTAAGTTATCATGTTCCCTTGAATTGATGCAGTTTTCTGGTGTAGGTCATATTATTGCCTTTTCATATTACTGCAGCTTTAAAACATCACAGATAGAAAATAGAAGAAGTACACAAGCCTGAGAGAAAGTTCACTATATCACTGTTGTATTATGGTCTGTCTCGACCACAAAAAGAATATTATGGCTGTTTGTCAAACCTGAAGCAGCCAAACAAGATTTTAGTGTAAATATTATTTTAACACTGAAAATGAGTTATGTGCAACTTTTGGGTGAACTTTATGTCTAAAACTATCAACAAAAGTAATCTAAAGTACCAACCAAACTGAAATATTCAGAAGTGTTGCTGGTTCAGATGAGTGGAGGAAAAGGATGAAGATTGTGTTGCAGAGTCATCTTCTACGTCTCCTCTGCTTAGATAAGCGGCCCATACTTGGTGTCCTTAGTCCACTAATCATGATTTACATATTCAAAACAATGCAGCACCTAACAACAGCAGTTGTAGCACCACAACAATTAAACATGGCCCTAAATGTTTCTGAGAAAGTCACTAAAAACTAGACATTACCCTTATTCTTTTTACAATTTATCTACAAGTTAAAAACTGTGACCAACTGAAAAAAAAACACTGATGATTGATTGATCCAACATAAACGTCAAAGCTCTGTAACTTCCAAATGTCACCATTTTATAAACATGTTCATAATTCAGTGTTCCTTCATTTTTTCATGATATATTAGAATTGTAAATGAATAATTCACCCTGCACCAGTCATTATTTCTCTATATGTTTATCAAATAATACATGACAGACATTGTCATTAAGAAACAACATCTTAATGCAGGTGAACTGTCACTGCTTTTGTGTCTTGTAATATAACATCATATATTATATTTTCTCTGATGAAAACCTTGCTTCACTAAAATGAGCAAAAGGTTGATGTAGCATCTTCACTCTGATTTGGTTATTATTTGACATTTACATTTTAGATCCTGTGTTAAAATGTATTTGTCAACATTTTTTTTCTTCTTTTTTTGTCATTTTTACCATGTACAAGTTAGTATTATATTAGAAATGTAAAACACATTGAAATTCTAAGTTACAAATTATCATCTTCCCAAGTATTTTAAACCAGATTTTAGTGCAAATATATCAGTACACTTGAAATCAGACAAAACTGACTTATATGTAAACTGTCAGCAAGACATATGTTTGTTTTAAATCAATGATTTGATAATATTGAGGAAAACGTATTAACTTCATTGACAGATTAATTAGCTTAAAACAAGACATTTTTCGAAGTTAAAGGTGAAACAATCTGCCAAAGGAAACAGTAAGTATTCATCCATATAAAGAATTTATTTACCTAAAACAATCTCCTTTATCTTACAGAAAAGTTACTTCTGAGTCAGTTTTCCCTTATTTGAATAGCACTAAGATATTTGCACTACAAATTTGACTAAAAATGCTTGATTTTTTGTTTTTGTAGTGAACTTACTTAATTATTCTTTACAGCAAGTAAGAAAAGCAAAGAGCCATTAAACACATAAATGCTGGTCAAAGTTTAGTTGATTAAGGGGTTGACTGAAATGAAAAAGCAGAAGTATGCAAATCAAGAGCAATAAGAAGAAGCACCAATAGAGGAAACATCTACCTCTTTCCTATAATATCTCATTTCAGTTCTGATTCAGTCTATGAGTTCAATAAATTAACATTAAGGCTGTAAATATGGCAGAGAAGCAGCCCCAATCACAAGGTAAGTTCATCTCATTCTGCATGAAATAAATAAATTCTCTAACATTTTAACTCAGTCTGCATCTTTCCAAATACCAGGGGTTTTCAGACCTTTTGTCACAAGAGTTAAAAGTAATCACAGGTCAAGAAATATTTTTTGAAAATGTAACATCCCCCAGAATTATATAGAGAACATATTTAACTCTGTGGTGGCATCATCCATCTCCTATGGTGTAGATATGTTTATTTCCAGCTAAAAGGCAGCAGTTATGTTCATCAGGAAGAATAGCTCTGTCTGAACATGGCCTCCTTACTCAGTTTAAATGACAAACAGAAGAACTTTTGTTAAAATAAATCTGTTACTGAGCGAGAGAGCAGCTGTTAAACTTTCTGAGCATCACAGCTCCCAACAAACTCCGACATATGTCACATATTGTACTTTTTTTAATGCCAATGCTCAGTTTCACATTTATTTTTATCTGAACAAAATGTGTTTAATACCTGTATGGTTTTATTCTATGGTTTAAGTTTTTAATAATTGTAGAGTCTGTTATTCCTATTTTTTCTGTTTATCATGACCTGCTGCCATAATTATCCCATTGTGGCACAAAAAATAGATTTAATGTACCAGTTAAGCGATATACAATATTTTTTTATCAAACAAAAAAGCTTTTCTTTTGTTAAAAATGTTGATTTTGGTCAATAAATGGCTCAGAAATCCCTCATCCACAACCAGAATATTGTTATATTCAAGTTCAACTTCAATTTAATTTCTTGAACATTTTTGCAAAATGTTTTTCACCTTGAAATAAATTGATTAGCATATTAGAAATAATATTGATTAGTTAGTGCTTTAGTTGTGCTGAGCATTTTTAATGTGTTGCTTTATAGTACAGCACATGACCCAGTTCTGCATTTCATGTTTCTGATAGGGGAAACTATGCCAGATAGTTCCTAATTTGTGTTGCAACGTATATTATGACAGGTAATTTTATTAAAAGATGAAATAGCAAAGAATGAAATATTTCTGTACATTACATTGATTAAATGTTTTGAAACTCACTGATCTTTCAGGTAAAAATGAGAATGAAGGTGTATATGAGGAAGTTGAGGCAAATAAAAAGGGTAAGTATAAAATAATAAAGATTTTTAAGTTTAAACATAAGAATCCTTAGAAAGTTCTTGTAAACAACTTATATTTTGAACTTTTTCAGCTAAAGCAGTGGATGATACTGAAGTGATGTACCAGAATGTACGTTTTCAGCAAACTCTTGACATAAAGGGTAAGTTCACAAAAAGAAGAAAGATATACAATATTAAAGTTCTCATTATTTGCCCCAATTCTAAGGACAAATCAATTTCATGTGGAAACCTGTAAAATGCTGCTTAGCTAATATTTGAATCATTTTTGATGTTTCCATTTCTTGAAAAAAAAGAGAACAATGTTCTCCTTTTTAAGAGACTTCTTTGAAATAAAAAAAAAAAAGTCTTAATGAAAATAATTTGAAGCTCTAATATTCCAGATGGCTAATCCTGATTTGCATTGGAAATCTAAAAGCAATCATGATCCAACACTATGGTATTTGCATTGTTTATTCAAATCCATATCAGTCATTGTTTTCTTGGACAAAACACTTCATCAGCTTTACCTGCAGATTTCATGGCAGCCTTGTTCCTGTTGTTGACATAGAATTTTAAGTTAGCACAATACTGCACAGGATAGCTTTGACACATATAAATATAACATAGAAAGTTAAAGTACACTCTAGGTTCATATAAATTTAGATGAAACTAAAAACAACGGCTCAATCTCTGAAACGCAGATAAATTCTTAAAAGGAGGATCAGACAGAAGAAACAGAAAACATAGGCCTAGACTCCTTGGATCTCTTGAGATAAGGAGCCTATATGCCAGGCAATTAACAAATTCCTGAGCATGGTTCAAAAGTTCACTAGGATCTTAAAACTTTTTATAAATAATTTTATCTATATTAGAATTAACTATATTTCTTTAAGCATGTTTTAAAATAGTTACTTATTAGATCCAAACTTATAGTCATTATTTAGCATTACATTGTGTGCAAGCTTGGTTAAAATACAAACGACTTTTTTGTGGAAGAGATAGCGCTGCAGCTGCACTCTATATCAAACTGGACAGCGGCAGGTACGAAAGAGCCGGGCCATATATCTGTCTTTGGGGCTCTTGAGCAGGAGGTAATAAAATTAACATTAAGACAGCCCACACAAAGGAAAAGAACACACCTCCTAATGCATATATTTAAATGATGAGATTACGCATTCTATAAAATGATTTGGTTTACAGCAGAAGTTGAAATCTCTTTGTGCTGGGTGAGAGTTTCCCGGAGGATGCATCTTCTGTCTTTTTTACTCAGTTCTTTGTCTCTGTTTTGTAATGTCTTGGACTTTTGATGTTCTAGGTGAGATGATTATTGTAACATTCTTCTTGCATTGATTTTCTCTGGATAAAACTCTGAATATCTGAAGTCTGACGTCATACGATTGCTCTTTTCTCTCTGCACACTTACACAGACACAGGAATTCGGGACTAAGAATTAATTAACGAGCTAAGATCAAGTTCTTCATCTTTTTAATTCTTAACAATTGGGGGCTTCGTCCGGTCCTTTTTCTCTGTGTCTCTGTGTGTGTTGCAGTGGAGGCTTGTTTGTTTGTGTTAGCCTGTGGAGCGCAGCTGGAACGTTGCGGAGTGATCTGCAGCGTGGCTTTTCCGCGGACTGATCTTGGTTAGTGTGTGATCTCTTTGTGTTTTTTTGTTTCTTCTTATTCTACTGAACCATTAGATAAGCTGGTACACACCCGTAGTTGGCAGTGGCGCGCCTCAACCACACTCGACGGAGTGTGGATTTAGCTAGGTTGGCTCAACCTGAGATTTTACTACACTTAAACGAAGCCTGTGAGTTGGGGTGTGAGACAGGAAAAGGTTTGAATCGACCTTGGAGTTTTGGTTCGCTCCGAAAGCAGCTGATTATTTGCAGGGCTTATGAGAATTGGCTACGGTTGTCACCACGTTCCAGTTTTGTTCTGGATCGAAAGGACCTCCAGATTTAAAAGTTGAATCACTTAAGCTATTGCCCGAGCTTGAAAGGACTTATGCTAAATTGGGAGACGGTCTCCTTCCGCAGCAACTAGTGCTGAAAATGAAAGTGATGTGCAGTGAAGTGCAAGAGACATTGGGGCCCCAAAGAATTAAACTCTTCTGTTATCGATAACAATAGGGACTTTCCTTTTGCTTTCTTCTCTTTCTTAATTTTCTCGTTTGTCTCTGTGTGTTGACGTTATTTTGATTTTTTCCTGTGTGTTGACCACCTTGTCTGTTCGTGTGTTTTCGGTGTTTTTTGTCTGTTTGTGTTGTTTCGCCGGCGTGTCTTTGTGTTTTTGTCTTTGTGTTTATGTCAGTACGTTATCTGTTTGTGTGTCGGAGTGACTGAGCCGTTGTTTGTCTGTGTGTTCGTTGTGCGGTGGTCGTGTGAGTTTTGCCGTTGTCTGTGTGTGTTTTACGGCTCTCTGTATGTTATTGTGTGTATGGGAGACGGCGTTTGCAGCTGCTGAGTGAGTGTTGTGTTATTTTGCCGCGGTTTGTGCTTATATACAATTTGAGAACTAATTATAAGAATAATACTCTCTAATATTAATAATATTAATAATACGATGAGATAATTTTTATCAGGCTATGTGCTTATATGGCGGTTGATTTTAATAATAACGTGTTAGCTTGTTAGTCTGCTTCTGTCTCGTGGCTTACGGTACAGGCGCATGTACGGAGCTACATTAGCATTTAATTCAGCAGTTGGCTTGTTACGTTTGATGTGACTCCGGCTCGCTTTACAGTTGTCATGGCAGATGTAGTTCGTCAATAAAGTGATGTTGTCATTTTGTTTGTCTGTTACACGTAGGCAGGTCGGTGGTTGTAAACACATTGTGTCTGCAGAACAACTGCAGGCTAATTTTTCCCTGGACAGATGCGTCTGTGAGTTTACAGCAGGCGACACAGGACAGAAAGTTGTGGACCCGTTTTGGTGAGTTGGCCAGGCATTGAACACTTCTTTATACAATGATTGTTATCTGTGACTTTTTATGGGGAACCGGTGAGTTGTAGTAATAATGCTAAATTTAGAGCGGTGTCTGAGGTTTTGTCGCACCTCAGTCTACTCCATTCTCTGCAGTGCTGGCCTATATTTTAGTTGTTGATTAGAGTTTACAGGTGGAACCAGTTTGCAGGGTAATTTTTTGTTTTTTGTTTTTTCTCTCTCCTGCATAAATGTTTGCTAAGTAAATGTGTTGTTGGTAGCTTTTCTATGGTGATTAGAATTAAGCCTGTTGATTTGTATAGATCGGATTACAAGTGTTTTGCCTAGTTCCACCTCTTAACAGAAAAAAAAAAAAAGGGAGGTGTGATTGTCTGTGGATAGGATTGGATTACATTACACCAGTATTCAAATCCCTTCACTGGCTCCCTGTGGCTCAAAGAATATATTTTACAATACTGTTGTTAGTTTACATATCACTGACCGGTTTAGCACCACAATACATCTGAAGATCTGCTGTTGTATCAACTTTCCAGACTATGGTTCTGGTTCTGGTTCTGATTTTGCAGAGCCAGAACCAAGAGAGGGAAGCAGCTTTCAGCATCTGTGCACAAACATTTGGAAGTTAAATTAGTGGGTGGTCTTGTTTCGCAGGGCCTAGTTTCACACGTCATAGTCTGGTGCGGTGTCATATTGCAAATCTAATGAATGAGAAACAAATAAAAGTAATTGTATAATGACTAAAATATTAGACTCTTGGCTGTCAGACTATTAGGCTGTCCCGTTTCTTAGATGTGTCTCCTTTGTCACACTGATTATCAGTCACACCTCTGGAGAACAGATGTGAAACTTTGTTTTTGGTGTTGTTCCGTTCAAATAGGAAAGTTTGTCTTTTTGGACTTTAATACTGGTGCTGTGTTGTGGATTAATGTCTTTTATTTATTTATGAGGGATTTAAATTTGATTTGGGGGAATTTCAGATTTGTAGGTTGGACGCTTTCAACTAAATTTTTATGATTTTGCATTAAGCGCTAAATCTTCCGTTTTTTTCCCTGACCACACACATTTTTACTTAGTTTTGGCTGTTTTGGATGCGGACCTGGGGAATTTATTTTCTCTTTTGCCGCTCCGGGTGTTATTTCTAAATTTTTGTAGGACATTTACATACATCCCTATATGTTTTTATATGAGGCCATAGAGTTGTGGAAGGGATATTGTTTTTTCGGAGAAACTATAAACTATATTTTTATTATAATTTGTAGGAGCATTTTCGACTGGATGTGCTGCCTGTTGTTCCTCCCTCCGTGTCTATATTTGATAACAAAAACATTCAGATTTGACTGGTGGTGATGCTGATTAATGGGGAATAATTTGTTGCATAATTTGCATATGTTTCAGTCTATGGAGAGTAACTGGATGGAAAAGGGGGACTTCACTAGCGATTGCTTCAGCTCCAGTTAGTGGATGCTTGGTATTCAGTGCATAAACAAAACAAAATATCACTTGTGGGTGTGGCCATGGTGGCTGCTGCTCTTACAATGTCTATTTTTCACTCAGGCTCCTGTTGCAGCCACACACTCTGGTCCCCGTATGTACTTGGCTCCGAATTGGCAGACTGCAGTTTCAGGTTGGCATGGCAGTCGCAGGCAGATGCCCGGATGGTCAGGTGTCAGGTAAAGGGGTGGATGGAGGACGAGTGTGCGCTTCAACACTTGTCATTGCCTTGGCGAGGAGGGACATTGAGCTCTGCAGTGTCCCCATGGGCCGTCATCATCTGCTGAAAGACGATGTGTTGTGTGTCCTGCTTCCTGCACACCCCCCATGCTGCAATGGTCTCAGGACATGGTGGACTTTGACCTCACAGTTCAGTTTATGAACACACCCCACAGAGACTTGTGGAGGAGGGATTGATGGGAGAACTCCTGATCAGCATGAGAGTTACTGGACATTTGTTGTCATTTTTGGTGGATGCTGGAGCCACCTCTATGAACACTGTGATGCCTTCGACATGCATTCTGCTGTGACTGTATATTCTGCGGCTTGCACTGCTGAACTGTTTTTGCTGCAGCCGCTGGAGGAACACCCTTCTGGAAACCCTCGACCCAGGCACTTACACCTACGGGCAGAAGTCTGACCTGTCTCATGTCTTTCTGTTTTAGGATATAGCCAGTCTGAATGGTATCAGGAGCAATTTGAGGGAACATTTAGTTGGCAGGGGCTGGACAGTGGTTTCTCAGGTTATTTTGTGGCACCAGAGAGTGTTGCTGCCGCAGTTTGTGTGACTGTGGTACAATTGGTTTAACATACAGGACGAAGCAGTAACACATGTTTCTTTGGTTCTGTAACACAGCAATACAGTTCAGGACTTAGATGGTGTGGTAAAATGCCTTTTATATGTTTTGAATTTGAAAATTATAGTTTCTCCTCCTCTATTTTTTCTCTCCATCGACTGACACGTATAAAATATAACAAACAAGAATTGTCTGTGTAAACGCTGGTTTTGGGACGTCTTTGCTCCCTGGTTATCACAGTCTGTTTGACATCACACCAATCACATTTGGTTTTACAACCTCGTCCTCCCATTTGATTTACAGCAATTTCTGGAGACAGGAAGATAGGACAACTGGCAGGACACATGATTTGTAGAAGACTGTTTTGACTTTGGTAACCTTGTAGTGCCGGTCAGTACTTTTGGGTTCCTTTCTGACTTATATTTTTATGTTGATTTTGATAGCGTTTTATTTAGTTTTTCTCTTGCTGGGGTTGTAGAGATGTGTTTTCTTTTCCTTACACAAGGTGACCGTTTGTGGGATGTACTTCTGCCACAAAGGTTTGTTTTTTATTTAGGAATGTTTAATTGGGTTTTGTAATGGTACTTGGCTAGTTGTCTATTTTTCAGTAGATGTGATTTTGGTTTAGTGTGTTGATAATCTCCTGCTATCTGCTGCTGCACATTTGGCTATACCTCATTATAATTTGCCGTTTAATTTGGATTTTTCTATAACATAACTGACGTTCTTTGCAGTTCTGTTTCAGAAAAAGGGGGAGAGCAGATAATTCTCCAGTAAAACATGAGAGTGAAATGAGAGAACGGGAGAAAGCATTGCTTCTGTGGTGATTCATGCAAGGACTGTTGATGCTTAGCTATAAAAGTTTGTAAATGGTAAGTATTGCGATTGAATAGGTGGAAAAGAACCACGTGGTAAAATCATTCAACATCAACAGAGTTTTTTGCCAGAAGAACTATCTATGTGGAAGGCAAGCAGAGCCATCATGAGATGACATCTAATTAAAGAGTATGTGCCATCCAGCCCGCACATATATACAAATATGCACATCAATAACTTATTTTTGCAGCTTAAACGGAGACGGTTCATTGTGGATGCACATGTGTGTTTTCTTGTCTAGGTTGGCATGCTTTCAAATCTATTTTCAGTCAAACATTTTCCCAGGATTTCTTTTGGAGTGTATTTTTAATTACAACTTTATTTATTATATTCTTGTATTATACTTTAATAGTTTATTTGAGTTAGAAGGAAGTGCTTAATTGATTAATTTTTTGATACACTGAACAGATAGAGAATAAATGTCACTATAGTAATCTCTGGCCTTGGCCCATCATTTTTGTGTGTGGTGGCCCGAATCATAAGAGAAACCGTCACAAGTCAGGTTAATAAGGTGATTCTCCCGAAAATATTAGAATTAATGTTTTTCCAGTAACACGTGGAACGACACAGGTAGGTTTTCACAGGTAGGTATTGAGGGTTTTGAAGCCATTTCTCAGGATTTTTTTATACAAGGAGTACAATTAACTGTCACAAGGATTTGATTACTTATTAGATTCCAGTGATGGATTCCAGGAACTAATGAGGTAGGTTGATGCTACATTTCAGGTATCAGGATCTCCAGGAAGTGGAACAAAATCCTGGGTTTGAATCATTTTTATTTTTGGTACAATATATTATCCATAAGTTGCAGGCAAACGTGGGGATTGAATGGAACAAAATACAAAATTGGCTAAAATCTGTGCACAGACAAAATTTTAATGGGGTAGTTGCAGTGCCTGTTATATTGCCTGTTGCTTTGTTGTCTGTTAGGATGTCCATTAATAAATTTACAGGGCTTTTCTCTTCGTACGAGCATGAGATCAGAAGAAGATTTCCAGGGCCAGCCGTCAGAACTCCCAGATGGACAGGTAACCCTGTACATTTATCTCATAAAATTTTTTTGATGAGTTACAGTTAATAGCAGCGGAGTTTGTGGAGTACCAGGGTCACAGGAGAGGTCAGAGAAGAGATCTGCATCAGGATACACCTGGGTGAGGCTGAAGGTCATCAAACGGCAGTGGTCTGAATCCTGCTTCACTGAGCTCTACCAAGTCATGGAGAGGACGTCCGAGCCGCTCCGACTGACGGTGGATGAGAGACCTGGTTCTGATGGGGCCAGCAGAGGATCTTCACTTCACATCAGACCCAGAGGAGCAACACTCTGGGCCAGAAGGATAGCAGATTTATTCCTGCTATAGGTTCTGGTTCCTGGAGTTCAACGTTTGAGGCCCAAAACAGGCATAATAATCCTTTTTGGGTTTTCTCTGATTGAATGAGAGGATGAAATCCCTCAATTACACTCACGGTGTTGGCATAATAATCCAATATTCAGTGAGCTTCGCATATTCAGGATGGACGCCTGCTAAAACTGTCGGGATCAAGAAGAAAGGAGTTGCCGATTATTGCGAACTCTTGCGAACTGTTGCGAACATTTCTTCTATTTTTTCTCCAGTTTTTTTTTTTTTTTAAATTTTCTTCACCAAAGATTTTATATCTTTCAGGAACAATCGATGGACACGAAGCAACATAAAGAAGTAAAGACATTATTGTTTAATATAAGTGTATGACTGTATGTATTGGTGTTATTTTTCTCTTCACAGCATTGTTGTGTTTTTCATGTTGTCGTTTTTACTGTTATTGTTTTTACTGTTGTTATTTTAGTGCATAGTTGAATGTTTTTTACTGCTTTTAGGTGACAGGAAGTTTTTTGTGATTTGTATTGATGTTATGTGATGTATGTTTTTCTTCTTTTGATGTGACTGGGGGAGCAAGTCTTGTTATTTTTTGGGGTTTTGTTTGTCGGGGGAATGTTAATCTTTTGTTAAATCCTTATGTGTTTGCTCCCAGGTAAGTATGGTCATACTTTAGGTGATCTCTTTTTTAAAGAGATCAAAAGGGGGAATGTTGACATAGAATTTTAAGTTAGCACAATACTGCACAGGATAGCTTTGACACATATAAAATATAACAGAAAGTTAAAGTACACTCTAGGTTCATATAAATTTAGATGAAACTAAAAACAACGGCTCAATCTCTGAAACGCAGATAAATTCTTAAAAGGAGGATCAGACAGAAGAAACAGAAAAACATAGGCCTAGACTCCTTGGATCTCTTGAGATAAGGAGCCTATATGCCAGGCAATTAACAAATTCCTGAGCATGGTTCAAAAGTTCACTAGGATCTTAAAACTTTTTATAAATAATTTTATCTATATTAGAATTAACTATATTTCTTTAAGCATGTTTTAAAATAGTTACTTATTAGATCCAAACTTATAGTCATTATTTAGCATTACATTGTGTGCAAGCTTGGTTAAAATACAAATGACTTTTTTGTGGAAGAGATAGCGCTGCAGCTGCACTCTATATCAAACTGGACAGCGGCAGGTACGAAAAGAGCCGGGCCATATATCTGTCTTTGGGGCTCTTGAGCAGGAGGTAATAAAATTAACATTAAGACAGCCCACACAAAGGAAAAGAACACACCTCCTAATGCATATATTTAAATGATGAGATTACGCATTCTATAAAATGATTTGGTTTACAGCAGAAGTTGAAATCTCTTGTGCTGGGTGAGAGTTTTCCCGGAGGATGCATCTTCTGTCTTTTTTACTCAGTTCTTTGTCTCTGTTCTGTAATGTCTTGGACTTTTGATGTTCTAGGTGAGATGATTATTGTAACATTCTTCTTGCATTGATTTTCTCTGGATAAAACTCTGAATATCTGAAGTCTGACGTCATACGATTGCTCTTTTCTCTCTGCACACTTACACAGACACAGGAATTCGGGACTAAGAATTAATTAACGAGCTAAGATCAAGTTCTTCATCTTTTTAATTCTTAACACTGTCATTTAGCTCCAGGGCAGCTGTGGCATAATGGTGAATGTATTGCCCTGCATTGGAGTTCTCTTGACTGGATAAAGTGCCATTGCAATTATAGGCTATTTATTAGTATTAGAGAGTGGAGTTTTTCTTTTTCTAATAAAGTAGAAATATTTATCTACAGCTGCAGACATAAAGGATAATAGAGGCTTCTGTCTGTTTACATTTTAAAGTTCATCTTTGTTGTTTTAATCTCTGTAGAACTTCTGCCAGACAAGGCAGCAGAAAGATGTCGCCGCTATCAGCAGCTGTGTTGCTGCTTTGGGACTCTGTGTGTCATTTTGGTGCTGAGTGTCATTGGAGTCTGTGTTCATTGTGAGTATACAAAACTAAAAGGCCATGAATGTGATTTCTGTTTATTTGAAATGATCTTTCTTATAACTTTGTTAGTTTATAAAACAGTTCAATCTTCAACAAAAAACTGTAATAGTGCTGGATCTTCTATTTCAGCTGGCAGGATTATTGGTTCAGATTGGAGAATAATTTAAAGATGACGGTCTTACATCTGAAGATTCTAACTTTTATATGTTATAAATGTCATATTTATCTTATTTTTAAAAGTTGTTTATATTGAAACTGAGTAGAAAGCAAAATTTAATTCAATCTGGATCAACTCACACAGAGAAAAAAAAAGCAGTTAGAGGATTTTAATGAACAAATCTTTGGCGCTCGAACCGGCGGAAGACTAGTGAGCGTAGATCGCCGGGGGGGAGATGCTGAGTCCGGCGAAGCTCACTAGTCTTACCCCCCGGTCCGAATACTGATGATGGAGCAGAGCCTTGGATGGAGGAGCGCGTAGGGCGCCTGGAGAATGGTCATCGGGCTGAAGGTGGAGATGGGGAGGAGGTGGGCGAAGCACAGCTGACGAGCAGGCAGATCCCCGGAAGCTCGTCTTCTTGAATGGACCGGCTTGACGTTGATTGGCTGGGACGCGCGAGGGCGCCGATCCTGATTGGCTGCAGCAGGGTGTGACGTGATTGAAGAGGATCATCTGTGATGTAGATCAGCTGTGTTCTGTCTCCCAGCTTGAATTTACGCCTAAGCTCCATTTCAATCTGGATCAACTCACACAGAGAAAAAAAAAGCAGTTAGAGGATTTTAATGAACAAATCTTTGGCGCTCGAACCGGCGGAAGACTAGTGAGCGTAGATCGCCGGGGGGGAGATGCTGAGTCCGGCGAAGCTCACTAGTCTTACCCCCGAAAACGAGGGTGCCGGCCGAGGCCTAGCTGCCTGCAGTCCGACGGACTGTATGCAGGCTCTGAAGCGGGGCCTGCAGTCTGATAGACTTGTTAGGCACGAGCCGCATCGTTGGCGGGGGCCACTAGGCACGAGCCGCATCGTTGGCGGGGGCCACTAGGCGCGAGCCGCATCGTTGGCGGGGGCCACTAGGCGCGAGCCGCATCGTTGGCGGGGGCCACTAGGCGCGAGCCGCATCGTTGGCGGGGGCCACTAGGCGCGAGCCGCATCGTTGGCGGGGGCCACTAGGCGCGAGCCGCATCGTTGGCGGGGGCCACTAGGCGCGAGCCGCATCGTTGGCGGGGGCCTGCAGTCTGATAGACTTGTTAGGCGCGAGCCGCATCGTTGGCGGGGGCCACTAGGCACGAGCCGCATCGTTGGCGGGGGCCGCTAGGCACGAGCCACGTCGTTGGCGGGGGCCACAAGGGACTGACAGACGTATACAGGCCTGATGAGCATGATGTGCTATGAGGAGCGGAGGGGGGACCGGTTGCTGCCGGGCTGAAGGCTGAGGATCTCTGGTCTGGCCGGTTCCCCTTGAAATTTAATGGTTAAAAATGGCCCAAAAAAAAAAAAAAACTACATCGTCATGCTGACTGCTCACCTGATGACATGGAGCGTTGGGCTTCAAGCACAGTTGCGAGATTGGGTCTGATGTAGGAAGTGAAGGCCGAAGATGACCAGCGGCCAAGCTGGAGGAGGGAAGCGATGGGGACGCCTTGTGCTGGGGCGGACGTAGCAGCGCCTATTCTAAATGGATTTCCTGAATAATGATCGGGGAGAAGGCCGCCTTCTTGTAAATAGGGCGGAGGTGGCGGATAAACGAATCTGCGGTCGTGGGGAAGCCTACGGGAGCTATAAACTGGGGTTTAGCTTCCTGATAGATTTGATGCCTTTTGCACACGAATTTGAGTGTGGCACGGAAGGGGCAAGATGGCCGTCTATGCGTGCGATAGAAAAAGTACGAAGACCTTTAATTTTGGAGTGCGTGATTAGGAGGGTGCAATGGTCGGGGAAAAACTTGATATCGGAGATTGATAAATCTTTTGGAGGGTTGAAGACTGGAGAAGCTGAGACGAACTCGCCCGACCTGAGGAAACCATAGGATGCTTGGAGAAGAGCGCAGGAGAGGAGCGCTTTAACGTAGTTGGAGAAAGTACAAGCTCGGAGCACGGTGATGAGCTTTCTGAGTAGAGGGAGAGTGATAGGCTTTAGCTATTGGAATACCTGGTGGAATGCTTAGAGGTCCAAGAGTAGAAGTTTCACGGCTGGGTTCGAAAAGAGACTGGGTGCTGTGCTTGGTTGCAAAAGTTTTGTGTGAAGGCTGATTCCTGCGAACGACTGTGGATATAGGGGATTTGACTGACGATGGTCGAAACAGTGAGTGATGAAGGCGAGGACGTTGGACACAGTGACAGAGTATGAGGTAGAATTAATAGCTTCTGGCTGAGGATCACCGAGCAGGTGGTTGGTACGGCGAAGCTTAGGCAAGAGGACTTGGTCGACCTAGCTGACCTGTTGTCTGCAATATTGAGGCGCAGCGATATTGCGGGGCGATGTTGTACAAGTACTACACTCTGGTGAAAGAATAGGAACCTCTCCAAAATGTGACTTTTGTAGAGTCGGAGTCACTGACTGAAATGTTACTTGGTTAAAAGTCTTAAAGTATCTGAAATGCCCTGTACTTCGAAATACTTAAGTAGAAAAGTATATAAATACTTTTTTTTTTTTTTTTTTTTTTTTTTTTTTTTTTTTTTTAATACCACGCTGCTGTTGCGGGGGCCCTCCAAGGGGCGCGAGCCGCGTTGTTGGAGGGGGCCCTCCGAGGGGTTGGAGGGGGCCCTCCGAGGGGCTGGAGGGGCTGGAGGGGGCCCTCCGAGGGGCTGGAGGGGCTGGAGGGGGCCCTCCGAGGGGCGCGAGCCGCGTCGTTGGCGGGGGCCCGCCGAGGGGGGGCCCGCCGAGGGGCGGAAGCCGCGTTTTGAGCTGTGAATGATGTGTCAGCGCTAACTAAAGGCCGAAGGCCGCTGGTCTGCCGGATTACTAGGTAAGAATGTGTTAAAGACTGTCAGTGCTCCATCGCCAGGCATTTGAAAGATACTCACGTAGCGGATAAGAACGTTGAGCTTCACGCACAGCTGAAGTTCAGTCCGACATGAAATGGAAGGCTGGGGATGGCCGATGGCCGAGCGATAGATAGAAGCTGTAGGAACACTTGGACAATGGTTATGCTGAACCGGCTGAGGGTGCAGAAAAGATAGTAGTGCCTTTCGTTTGGGAAGCTTATGAGGAGGTTGTAGTGGTCAGGGAAGGATTGGGAACGGACTAAGAAATTCGAACGATGCTAGGAAGGAAGCGGATGATGGGGGCGCTTGGTGAAAGACGACCCTTTGTAACGGAGATACCTTGACTAAGGATCGAGGAGAGACTAGATGATGTGCTAGATCGCTGAAGCGCTACACAGAAAATAATTCCGACAGGCAGAACTGGACGTGACAAGTTTGGATCAACAATCATCGAGACGGTGAGTGATGAAGGTGAGAACTGGACGTCTTAAAGTATCTGAGAGAGCTGGAGGAGTAAGGGAGACGGATTCATAACTGAGCAGGACTTGGTGACTGATTGCCGGACGACGTAAACGAGGAAGTAGTAGAAGGGCAAAACCCGATTTTGTGCCATTACGTGCTGAACACAGGAAGGGATATAGTGTCATTTAGTCGAGCGTTGGTTCTAAGAAGGATGGATCAGCTCAGGGAGAGTAATGGCCGTGAGTAGTGACAGGCAGCAAAGACCTGGCTTCTTTCATAGGCTGAGCGAGTTCTACGGGGAACGCAGAAGAGGAAATGAATGAAAGGTATAAATCTTGATTGACATGATCGTCACTTCTAAATTTGTCCAGCAGATGGTAGCAGGAGACCATGAGAAAGCCATGAACTGCGTTATCATGAGCTTGAGACTTAAATTCCCATAATACATTCGAATTGCACGAATATACAAAAACTACTGAAATACTGGTGAGACTTATATTAATTTTCGGACTAGGCGATTATGCTAAATGCTTGTTTAGCGATGAGCGTGGGCTCTTAACGCCAGAGGTTGTTGGCAACTTGAGTTTAAGACAAACCGGTTCGCGCTGAATTCGGGAAGTAGAATAGCAGATGCGTACCCGACGCCTTAGAAAACATGTATTGCCTTAAGCGCCGCTCTCTGGTGGCCAGCGAGAGCCGCACAAGAGATCGACCAACTACGCATATTTAAATGAAAAATAGGCAGAATTACGGGAGCTAAACGAGATACTCAGACAGCACAACCCCTAAATATAAAGAAGCAACAAAGAAAAAACCCTTATCGAACCAGACTTAACACCCGGACTCGTCCGTGACTTTAAAGAATCACGTCCTGTTTAAATAAGCTGAAGCTGTGGCAGACAGCCTGAGGGCCTCTGGGATTAGAGGGCAGGGTGTGCCGAGGAGCGACTGGGCTCCTGGCGGAATGGAGCGATCTAAGCCAGCAACTGAGGCGAGGGCTTCGGGGCCGGGCGGGGAATGCCGGAACGAAATGCTGAATTGAGAGTCGGTTAGGCTGAGATGAGGTGAACCCAGCTCGCTGACTGCACAAAGCGTTCAGATGTCCCTGAGATGTACAGATTGACCCGCCCAGGGGCGACATGAACATGCGTTAAAGTGCTGATGAACTGACTGAGAGCTGAGCGAACGGCTGATGTACTGGACAGGAGCGGGTACGTCTTACCTGGCAACGCCCTCGATGGGCGGGAGAGGTTACGGTATGATGAGACTGAAGAGCCGGCTGGGAGCCGAGACACGGAAGTGAGCGCAGTGGTCCGGAGGCAGCGTACGCCCGGCGACGAACAGGAGGAGACCGTCCAGGTAATGGAGCCAGTTCATGATGAGACAGCAGAAACAGCGGAAGGAACCAAAGCAGGTCTTGGGGACAACCTGCGCACGACTGCGGGGCAGCGTCAGAGAGCCGCAGCAATTGAACGATCGTGAGCCGGAGCAGGGAACCAGGCGGATGACGGAATGTGACCACGACGTGAAAAGGGAAGATGTCCCGCTTCGACGCCGCCGATGGAGGCCGAAGGAAGGCTAGGAGCGGCAGTAGGATCTGTGAGGAGCCACTGGAAGATTAACGAAGTGCAGCCGGCGGCCAAGGGATGATTCCTGGACCTGAGCGGTGAAAGAAGGGAAGGACATCTACGGTGCTCTGCAGACCAAAGACGAAGCACAGCTGACGAGCAGACAGATCCCCGGAAGCTCGTCTTCTTGAATGGACCGGCTTGATTGGCTGGGACGCGCGAGGGCGCCGATCCTGATTGGCTGCAGCAGGGTGTGACGTGATTGAAGAGGATCAACTGTGATGTAGATCAGCTGTGTTCTGTCTCCCAGCTTGAATTTACGCCTAAGCTCCATCTCTAAAAAATTACTTTTTTTTCTTAAGTAATTTCATTTTTTTTAGTTACAGCAATTCATGAGAGCACTTCAAATGAGCTGAACCAGCTGAAATCATCCCAACAGGTTCTGCTGGAGGAGAATCAGAACCTGACAAACCTCAACAACAAACTCAGTTCAGATAATAAAAATCTAACGATTCAGTTTGACAACCTGACTATGGCTTCTCATGCCTTAGAAAACAACATCACCATGCTGACAACAGAAAAATCCAACCTGACTTCTCTTAATGAGGAGCTGAAGGAACAAAAGAAAAACCTCACAGAAAAAATAAAAAACATGGAGGAAACCTGGGATGGTCTCAATGTCAGTCGAGCTCAATGGAGCATTGATGAATACTGTCCAAAAACAAATGCTGGTATGTTCATATTTTAAACAGTTTGTCCTGAACTACATTATCACGTTTAAAATAATAATAATGATATTATGTAAACATATTTATTAATGGAATCTTTTTGTAAAAGGGAGAAGCTGCAATAATTGCCAGAAAGGCTGGACTTACAAACCTTCCAGTTGTTATGCTTATAACAATGCTCCACCATCTGAACACCTGACCTGGGAAGATGCTCGAGAAAACTGCAAACAGATGATTGCAGATCTGACTGTTGTTTCTAACCAGGCAGAAAAGGTAATGGAAGAACAATTTTAATGGATTATAAATGTACACTGACTGATAAAATTGTAGAATCAATCATTTTGAGTGTTTAGTCAGTTTTCAGTCAACATATAAACAGAATTATCTCTTCTAATTCCTCAGGATATTGTCCAAACACTAAGTCCTGCTCTTTCACACATTAATGGATACTGGATTGGTCTCAGAGCTGTAGGAGGGAAATGGAAATGGACTGATGGAAGTGATCCGACCAATCAGTGAGACACACATTGTTTCTTAAGCTTTGTAAAACAAATCCTTGAGCCTTGATTTAATTGATGTTTTTCCTTAGAGCCTGGATGCAACAGCCTGCAACTGATGGTCAATGTGTAACTTCTCGTGAGGACCGAGAATGGAGATCTGTGAGCTGTACTAATAGAAACTCCCGGATCTGTGAGAAGAAGGCTTTATCTGTTTAAACATGAAATGTTGAGGGTTTTGACAAGCTGTTTGGAAAACCTCATTTCAGAATTATGCAAATTTCTGGTTGATTTTTTTACAAGCTCATTTTAAAAGGCTTTACAAATTTCACATGTTTTTCTCACAATTTATAAATGTAAAGTTTATCAATAGATTCATAAACCAGACAAAATGATTTTTTATGGTTTCTTAAGTTTTTAATGATGGTTTTTGAAAGAACTTTGCATGGCTTCAGCATGATTTTAGGATTCCCACTGCCTGTGGATCTTTTTTTGAATAGTTAACATAATTAAGTAGTGAATTTAACTATTACTGAACTTATTTTGTGCAATCTATTACACACAATAACACAATTGTTGTTTTTAAAGATGAGAATAAAAACATGTCTGCCATTTTTCTTTCTGACATGTTTTCCTATTATACAGCTTGTCTGTTAGGTTCATCTCCAGGATTAGAGGACTAATGTCTCAGCCAGATCTAGAGAAACTCATCCATGCGTTTATCTTTAGTTGCATTGATTATTGCAACAGCGTCTTCACAGGCAAGCAGCTTTCAGCATCTACACAAAAAAAAAAAAAAAAAAATGGGAACAAACTTCCAGAAAATTGTAAAACAACGGAAACCCTGACTTCCTTTAAATCTCAACTAAAAACAAACCTGTTTAGAGTTTTATTTGAAATGTAATATGTAAACAATGTATTGTTTATTCCATGATGCATGACTTTGTGTTTTTGATGTAAAGCACTTTGAAATGCCTTGCTGCTGAAATGTGCTGTACAAATAAAATTTGATTTGATATTTTGATTTAAGAAACACTGATGGATTGATTGATCCAACATAAACGTCAAAGCTCTGTAACTTCCAAATGCCACCATTTTGAACTGGAATACCTTTCATAGATATGTTCATAATTCAGTGTTCCTTCATTTTTTCATGATATATTAAATTTGTAAGTGAATAATTCACCCTGCATCTGTCATTATTTCTCTATATGTTTATCAAATAATACATGACAGACATTGTCATCAAGAAAAAAATCTTAATGCAGGTGAACAGTCACTGCTTTTGCTTCTTGTAATGTCACATTATATTTCCCTCTCTGATGTTTGTATTAAGTCAATGATTTGTTAATATTGAGGAAAAGGTATTAGCTCCACTGGCAGATTAATTAGCTTATAATAATACATTTTCTCCACATTAAAGGTGAAATAATCGTCCAGAACAAACAGGAATTTTTCAGCCATATAAAGAATTTTTCTACGTAAAACAATCTCCTTTATCTTACAGAAAAGTTACTTCTGAGTCAGTTTTGCCTTATTTCAAAAGCACTAACATATGTGCACTACAAATTTGACTAAAAATGTTTGATTTTGTGTTTTTGTAGTGCACTTTCATAATTATTCTTTACAGCAAGCAAGAAAAGCAAAGAGCTATTAAAACACATAAATGCTGGTGAATGTTTATTTAATTTAGGCTTTGAATCTATTGAAAAAGCAGAAGTATGCAAATCAAGAGCAAAAAAAGGAAGCAACAACAGAGGAAACATCTGCCTCTTCCTATTACATCTCATTTGAGTTTTGATTCAGTCTACGAGTTCAATAAATCAACATTAAAGCTGTAAATATGGCGGAGGAGGACGTGAGCTATGCTTCAGTGAACATCAAAAGTAAGAAGCAGCCCCAATCACAAGGTAAGGTCATATGATTCTGCATGAATTAAATATATTCTCTAACATTTTAACTCAGTCTGCATCTTTCCAAATGCCAGGGGTTTTCAGACCTTTTGTCACAAGAGTCAAAAGTAATCACAGGTCAAGGAAATTATTTTTGAAAATGTAACATCCCCTAGAATTATATAAAGAACATATTTAACTCTGTGGTGGCATCATCCATCTCCTATGGTGTAGATATGTTTATTTCCAGGTAAAAGGCAGCAGTTATGTTCATCAGGAAGAATAGCTCTGTCTGAACATGGCCTCCTTACTCAGTTTAAATGACAAACAGAAGAACTTTTGTTAAAATAAATCTGTTACTGAGCGAGAGAGCAGTTGTTAAACTTTCTGAGCATCACAGCTCCCAACAAACTCAGATCTATGCACACAGTCACATATTGTACTTCATTTCATGCCAAAGTTCAGTTGCACATTTATTTTTTATCTGAATAAGATATGTTTAATACCTGTATGGTTTTCTTCTATGGTTTAAGTTTTCGCTAACTGCAGAGTCTGTTATTCCTATATTTTCTGTTTATTATGACCTGCTGCTGGTGTTTATGATGACCTATTGCTGAATTTTTACATTGTGGCAAAAAAGGCTAGTTCTAATGTATCTATTTCATTCCTTCTTTCCAGTTATGCAGGAAATTAAATATATAATATTTTTTTTATCAAACAAAAAAGCCTTTCTTTTTTCAAGATGTTAATCTTGGTCAATAAATGGCTCAGATATCCCTGATCCACAAACTGAAAATTATTAATATATTCATGTTCAACCTTAATTTGAATTTCTTGAACATTAGTCAAAAATCAACTTGAAATAAATTGATTGGCATTAGAAATTATATTGGTTAGTTAGTTGTGCTAACATTAGTGTTTGACATTTAGAAAAATTGTCAAAAATGTTTAGTCAAATATTTAGGTTTCACTAAATGTTTTTTTAAATCACTGGTCTTTCAGGCAAAAATGAAAATGAGACGATATATGATGAAGTTAAGGTGAATGAAGAGGGTAAGTATGAAATAGTAAAGATTTTTAAGTTTAACTATAAGAATCCTTATAAAGTTCTTGAAGACCAATTTAAAATGTCCAACCTTTTCAGCTAAAGCAGTGGATGATACTGAAGTGGAGAACCAGAATGAAAGTGTTCAGCAAACTCTTGACAAAAAGGGTAAGTTTACAAAAAAAGAAAGATGTATTCTCTTAAAGTTCTCATTATTTGCCCCAATTCTAAGGACAAATTAGTTTCACGTGGAAACATGTCAAATGCTGGTTAGCTAATATTTTAATTCTTTTTTGATGTTTCCCTTTTTTGAAGATAAATGAGAGAAAAAATTGTTCTCCTTTTGCACTGACGTTGAGAGATTTCTATGAAATTAAAAAAAAAAATCTTAATGAAAATTATTTTAAGATTTAATATTAAAAGTTTTTATTGCTGTTTTCCATTGGAAATTTTAAAACAATCATGATCCAACACTATGGTATTTGCGTTGTTGCTTCAAATCCATGTCAGTCATTGTTTTCTTGGACAAAACACTTCATCTGCTTTGCCTGCAGATTTTATGGCAGCTTTGTTCCTGTCATTTAGCTCCAGGGCAGCTGTGGCATAATGGTGAATGTATTGCCCTGCATTGGAGTTCTCTTGACTGGATAAAGTGCCATTGCAATTATAGGCTATTTATTAGTATTAGAGAGTGGAGTTTTTCTTTTGTAATAAAGTAGAGATATTGATCTACAGCTGCAGATATAAAGGATAATAGAGGCTTCTGTCTGTTTACATTTTAAAGTTCATCTTTGTTGTTTTAATCTCTGTAGAACTTCTGCCAGACAAGGCAGCAGAAAGATGTCGCCGCTATCAGCAGCTGTGTTGCTGCTTTGGGACTCTGTGTGTCATTTTGGTGCTGTGTCATTGGAGTCTGTGTTTATTGTGAGTATACAAAACTAAAAGGCCATGAATGTGATTTCTGTACATTTGATATGATCTTTCTTATAACTTTGTTAGTTTATAAAACAGTTCAATCTTGAACAAAAAAACTGTAATGTAATCTTTTATTTCAGCTGGCAGGATTATTGGTTCAGATTAGTGAATAATTTAAAGATGACACTCTTACCTCTAAAGATTCTCATCTTTATATGATATACATGTCATTTTTATTTTTTTTAAAGGTTTTTTATATTGAAACTGAGTAGAAAGTATAATTAAACTCTAAAAGATTTTTTTTCATAAGCATTTTTCACTTTTTAGTTACAACAGTTTCTTAGAGCACTTCAAATGAGCTGAACCAGCTGATATCAACCCAAAATGAAAAAATCCAAAACTTGACTGACCTCATCTACAAACTCAGTTCAGAAAAATCCAACCTGACTTCGCTTAATGAGGAGCTGAAGGAACAAAAGAAAAACCTCACAGAAAAAATAAAAACATGGAGGAAACCTGGGATGGTCTCAATGTCAGTCGAGCTCAGTGGAGCATTGATGAATACTGTCCTAAAAAAAAATGGTGGTATGTTCATATTTTAGACAGTTTGTGCTGAACTACATTATGATGCTCAAAAAAAATTATAATATTATGTAAACATATTTATTAATGGAATATTTTTGTAAAAGGGAGAAGGTGCAATAATTGCCAGAAAGGCTGGAATCACAAACTTTCCAGCTGTTATGCTTTTAGCGATGGTCCACCGTCTGAACACCTGACCTGGGAAGATGCACGAAAACAATGCAAACAGATGATTTGTTTCTGTTGTTTCTAACCAGACAGAAAAGGTAATGGATGAACAATTTTAATGGATTGCAAATGCACACTGACTGATAAAATTGTAGCCTCGATAACTTTAAGTGTTTAATCAGTTTTCAGTCAACATATAAACAGGATTCTCTGTTCTAATTCCTCAGGATTTTGTCCAAACACAAAGTCCTGCTCTTTCATACATTAATGGATACTGGATTGGTCTCAGAGCTGTAGGAGGGAAATGGAAATGGACTGATGGAAGTGATCCGACCAATCAGTGAGACACACATTGTTTCTTAAGCTTTGTTTAAAACAAATCTTTGAGCCTTGATTTAATTGATGTTTTTCCTTAGAGCCTGGATGCAACAGCCTGCAACTGATGGTCAATGTGTAACTTCTCGCCAGGACAGAGAATGGAAATCTGTGAGCTGTACTAATAGAAACTCCCGAATCTGTGAGAAGAAGGCTTTATCTGTTTAAACATGAAATGTTGAGGTTTTTGACAAGCTGTTTGGAAAACCTTATTTCAGAATTATGCAAATTTCTGGTTGATTTTTTTACAAGCTCATTTTAAAAGGCTTTACAAATTTCACATGTTTTTGATGATTTATCTCTAAGTTGTACATTTAAAGTTTATCAACAGATTCATAAAGTTTTTACTGATAGTTTTTGAAAGAACTTTGCATGGCTTTAGCATGATTTTAGGATTCCCACTGCCTGTGGATCTTGTTTCAGTAGTTAACATAATTATTTAGTGTATATAGGTTTTACTGAATTTATTGTGTGCAACCTATTACACAAAATAACATAATTTTTATTTTTAAAGTTGAGAATAAAAAAATTGTCATTTTTCTATCTGTCATTTTTTCTTATTATACAGTTTATCAAACATTTGTGATATGATGATTTTGTTTTAGAAATCCACAACTTTGACAATGAATGACAATAAATGTCTAAATATTAAAGCAAATAATCTGAGTTTGGAAGTGAGTCTTTAAGTTATCATGTTCCCTTGAATTGATGCATTTTCACAGTGTAAGTCATATTATTGCCTTTTCATATTACTGCTGCTTAACAAAGTTACAGATAGAAAATAGAAGTACACAAGCCTGATGAAAAATGAAAATTATGCCTGTTTGAATATTATTTACAAGATTTTAGTATAACTATTATCTTAACACTTGTTATGACCCTAAGGTCTAGGGGTTCAGGGCGGTAACATAAAAAATGTCCAGACATAATAAAAAAAAGTGATTTATTACAAAAATGAACAAAGTTTTACAAAACCAAGACACAATACAACTTAACCCAATTAAAACAAAGCAAAAGGGCTAAGAACTTTAAGAATGGTTAAGTGCAAAGTAAATTACAAGATGCCCAAACAAATCAGTCTAAGGTAAATCAAATAAAAGGGAAAAGAAAAAATAAAGGGAGCAACAAGCCTCCCAAACACTAGCTTCTAGCTTGTGAAGACAACCCAAACAAGGCAAACTACTTTAGCAGAGCAAACAACAAAATGTTTTTACAATTGCCAAAAGCAATTACAAACAAAGGTGGTGAACAGCAGAGCAACACCTCCTCTTACAAGCTGTGCCACTGAAGGAATGTTTCAGGAGCATTTTATAGGAACAGGTGAGTCTCATTAACATCTGATAGGCTTGCAGTTCTCTGCTGATCCAATGGGGTGTAGCTCCTGCAGCTTCCAGGCGGCCAATCAGGAGATGACTTGTCATCTACAGCTGAACCTGTTTAGCATAAAAAACATGCACAGCCCCAAGAGGCCAGGGGCTGTAACGACACTGAAAATGAGCTATGTGCAAATTTTGGGTGAACTTTATACCTAAAACAATGAACAAACCAAACTGAAATATTCAGAAGTGTTGCTGGTTAAGATTAGTGGAGGAAAAGGATGAAGGGTGTGTTGCAGAGTCATCTTATACCTCTCCTCTGCTTAGATAAGTAGCCCATACTTGGTGTCCTGAATCCACCAGTCATGATTTACATATTCAAAACAATGCAGCACCTAACAACAACAATTAAACATGGCCCTAAATGTTTCTGAGGAAGACACTAAAAAACTAGACCTTACCCTTATTCTTTTTACAATTTACCTACAAGTTAAAAACTGTAACCAACTGAGTAAGAAACAGTGATGGATTAATTAATTCAACATAAACGTCAAAGCTCTGTAACTTCCAAATGCCACCATTTTATAAACATGTTCAAAATTCAGTGTTCTTTCATTTTTTATGATGTATTAGATTTGTAAATGAATAATTCAACCTGCACCAGTCATTATTTCTCTATATGTTTATCAAATAATACATGACAGACATTGTCATTAAGAAACAACAATTAATGCAGGTGAACAGTCACTGCTTTTGTTTCATGTAATATGAGATTATATTTCCCTATCTGATGAAAATCCTGTTCCACTAAAATGAGCAAAACGTTGATGTAGCATCCTCACTCTGATTTGGTATTTATTTGACATTTACTTTTTATGTATTTTTGTCAACCTTTTTTTCCTTCTTTTTTTATAATTTTCACCATGTACAAGTTAGTATTGTATTAGAATTTTAAAACACATTGAAATTCTAAGTTATAAATTAACATTTTTTGTAAAAATTCAAAAACACAACATCTTCCAAAGTATTATAAAACCAGTTTCTAGTGCAAATATATATGTACACTTGAAATGAGACAAAACTGACTTATAAATAACCTTTCAGCAACACATACGAGTTTGTTTTTAATCAATGATTTGTTAATATTGAGGTAAAAGTATTAACTTCACTGGCAGATTAATTAGCTTAACACAAGACATTTTTCGCACTATAAACGTGAAACAATCGGCCAAAAGAAACAGTAATTATTCAACGATATAAAGAATTTATTTACCTAAAACAATTTCAATAGCACTAATATATTTGCATTAAAAATGTGACAAAAAGTGCTTGATTTTGTGTTTTTGTAGTGCACTTACTTAATTATTCTTCATAACAAGTAAGAAAAGCAAAGAGCGATTAAAACACATAAATGCTGGTCAAAGTTTAGTTGATTAAGGGGTTGACCGAAATGAAAAAGCAGAAGTATTCAAATCAAGAGCAATAAAAAGAAGCACAAATAGAGGAAACATCTACCTCTTTCCTATTACATCTCATTTCAGTTCTGATTCAGTCTATGAGTTCAATAAATCAACATTAAGGCTGTAAATATGGCAGAGAAGCAGCCCCAATCACAAGGTAAGTTAATTTGATTCTGCATGAATTAAATATATTCTCTAACATTTTAACTGAGTCTGCATCTTTCCAAATGCCAGGGGTTTTCAGACCTTTTATCACAAGAGTTAAAAGTAATCACAGGTGAAGAAATTATTTTTGAAAATGTAACATCCCCTACAATTATATAGAGAACATATTTAACTCTGTGGTGGCATCATCCATCTTCTATGGTGTAGATATGTTTATTTCCAGCTAAAAGGCAGCAGTTATGTTCATCAGGAAGAATAGCTCTGTCTGAACATGGCCTCCTTACTCAGTTTGAATGACAAACAGAAGAACTTTTGTTATAATAAATCTGTTACTGAGCGAGAGAGCATTTGTTAAACTTTCTGAGCATCACAGCTCCCCATAAACTCAGATCTATGCACACAGTCACATGTTGTACTTCATTTCATGCCAAAGTTCAGTTGCAAATTTATTTTTTATCTGAACAAGATATGTTTGATACCTGCATGGTTTTCTTATATGGATTACGTTTTTGCTAACTGTAGAGTCTGTTATTCCTAATTTTTCTGTTTATCATGACCTGCTGCTGGTTGTCCTGAATTTTTCTATCGTGGCAAAAAAGCCTGGTTCTAATGTTTCTATTTCATTCCTTCTTACCAGTTAAGCAGTGAATTAAATTTACAATATTTGTTCTTTTTTCAAATGTTGATTTTGGTCAATAAATGGCTCAGAAATCCCTCACCCACCACCAGAGTATTGATATATTCAGGTTCAACTTCAATTTAATTTCTTGAACATTTATGCAAAATATTTTTGACCTTGAAATAAATTGATTAGCATATTAGAAATAATATTGATTAGTTAATGCTTTAGTTGTGCTGAGTATTTTTAATGTGTTGCTTTTTAGAACAGGACATGACCCAGTTCTGCATTTCATGTTTCTGATAGGGGGAACTATGCCAGATAGTTCCTAATTTGTCTTGCAACATATATTATGACAGGTTATTTTATTAAAAGATGAAATAGCAAAGAATGAAATATTTCTGTACATTACATATGTTTGACTAAATGTTTTGAAACTCACTGATCTTTCAGGTAAAAATGAGAATGAAGGTGTATATGAGGAAGTTGAGGCAGATAAAAAGAGTAAGTATAAAATAATAAAGATTTTTAAGTTTAAACATAAGAATCCTTAGAAAGTTCTTGTAAACAACTTATATTTTCAACCTTTTCAGCTAAAGCAGCGGATGATACTGAAGTGATGTACCAGAATGTACGTTTTCAACAAACTCTTGACATAAAGGGTAAGTTTACAAAAATAAGGAAGATATACAATATTAAAGTTCTCATTATTTGCCCCAATTCTAAGGACAAATCAGTATCATGTGGAAACCTGTAAAATGCTGGTTAGCTAATATTTGAATTATTTTTGATGTTTCCATTTGCTGAAGAAAAAGAGAAAAAATTTTTCTACTTTTACACTGACTTTGGAGATTTCATTGAAACAGAAAGAAAATCCTGATTAAAATAATTTTAAGATTTAATATTCCATTTTTTTTATTGCTGTTTTGCTTTGGAAATCTAAAAGCAATCATGATCCAACACTATGGTATTTGCTTTGTTGCTTCAAATCCATGTCAGTCATTGTTTTCTTGGACAAAACACTTCATCAGCTTTACCTGCAGATTTTATGACAGCCTTGTTCCTGTCATTTAGCTCCAGGGCAGCTGTGGCATAATGGTGAATGTATTGCCCTGCATTGGAGTTCTCTTGACTGGATAAAGTGCCATTGCAATTATAGGCTATTTATTAGTATTAGAGAGTGGAGTTTTTCTTTTGTAATAAAGTAGAGATATTGATCTACAGCTGCAGATATAAAGGATAATAGAGGCTTCTGTCTGTTTACATTTTAAAGTTCATCTTTGTTGTTTTAATCTCTGTAGAACTTCTGCCAGACAAGGCAGCAGAAAGATGTCGCCGCTATCAGCAGCTGTGTTGCTGCTTTGGGACTCTGTGTGTCATTTTGGTGCTGAGTGTCATTGGAGTCTGTGTTCATTGTGAGTATACAAAACTAAAAGGCCATGAATGTGATTTCTGTACATTTCTGTACATCTTTCTTATAACTTTGTTAGTTTATAAAACAGTTCAATCTTCAACAAAAAACTGTAATAGTGCTGGATCTTTTATTTCAGCTGGCAGGATTATTGGTTCAGATTAGTGAATAATTTAAAGATGACGGTCTTACATCTGAAGATTCTAAACATTATATGATAAATATGTCATATTCATCGTCTTTTCAGAGGTTGTTTATATTGAAACTGAGTAGAAAGCAAAATTTAACTCTAAAATTTTTTTTTTTTCTTAAGCAATTTTCATTTTTTTAGTTACAGCACTTTTTTAGTGAGAGCACTTCAAATGAGCTGAAACAGCTGAAATCATCCCAGCAGGTTCTGCTGGAGGAGAATCAGAACCTGACAAACCTCAACAACAAACTCAGTTCAGACAAATCCAACCTGACTTCGGTTTCCATGGCCTTAAAAAACAACATCACCACACTGACAGCAGAGAATCACAACCTGACTTCGCTTAATGAGGAGCTGAAGGAACAAAAGAAAAACCTCACAGAAATAATAAAAAACATGGAGGAAACCTGGGATGGTCTCAATGTCAGTCGAGCTCAATGGAGCATTGATGCATACTGTCCTAAAACAAATGCTGGTATGTTCATATTTTAAACAGTTTGTCCTGAATTACATAATCATGTTTAAAAAAATAAATAATGATATTATATAAACATGTCTATTAATGGAATATTTTTATTTAAGGGAGAAGTTGCAATAATTGCCAGAAAGGCTGGAATCACAAACTTTCCAGCTGTTATGCTTTTAACGATGCTCCACCGTCTAGTCAACTGACCTGGGAAGATGCACGAGAAATCTGCAAACAGATGATTTCAGATCTGACTGTTGTTTCTAACCAGGCAGAAAAGGTAATGGAAGAACAATTTTAATGGTTTATAAATGTACACTGACTGATGAAATTGTAGAATCAATAATTTTGAGTGTTTAATCAGTTTTCAGTCAACAAATAAACAAGATTCTCTGTTCTAATTCCTCAGGATTTTGTCCAAACACAAAGTCCTGTTCAATCAGGCATTAATGGATACTGGATTGGTCTCAGAGCTGTAGGAGTGAAATGGAAATGGACTGATGGAAGTGATCTGACCAATCAGTGAGACACACATTGTTTCTTAAGCTTTGTATAAAACAAATCATTCAGCCTTGATTTAATTGATGTTTTTCCTTAGAGCCTGGATGCAACAGCTGAAAGGCAGGAATAGTTTTCTGGCATATGATAGTGTTAAAGACCTTACTAAACAGAATTATGTTACTTGATACCACCTAAAATCTAAATTAGAGGTTTAATAATTTTTCAAAATATGCTTGACCAAACCGTTGATTTGTCACTTGATGCTAAATGTAGCAAATCAAGGTAATTTAGTTAACTTTTTTTTTTTGCTATAAAATAAAAAGTCATTTTCATCTATTGGTGTAAATAGGAAACAATAAGTGTTATTACAATGTTATACACTAAGAATAATTATAACATCATCCATCCATTTTCTGGCCACCCTTCTCCCTAACGGGGTCGGGAGGTGCTGGTGCCTATCTCCAGCTGCGTTCCGGGCGAGAGGCGGGTTACACCCTGAACAGGTCGCCAGTCTGTCGCAGGGCAACACAAAGACAAACAGGACAAACAACCATGCACTCACACATTCACACATAAGAAGAATCTGGAAAGCCCAATCAACCTGACAGACATGTTTTTGGACTGTGGGAGGAAGCCGGAGAACCCGGAGAGAACCCAGTATGCAAAGGGATAACATGCAAACTCCGTGCAGAAAGACCCTGGGCCAGGAATCGAACCCAGGACCTTCTTGCTGTATAACATCATCTTACAAAATAATTTTTGTAATAATTTCTTCCTTTGGGAGCAAAAGTGGTGCCAACACTCTGCAAAACGATAAAAGAGCCCCAGCTGTCTGTTGTCTTTTGTGATAACTTCTTTACAAGTTTCAACTTGGTTCAGTACCTGCACACTGCCCTTGGCGTCAAGTGAATCGGTACCGTATGACTGAACTGCACTGGTGGAGCTCCATTGATGACAAAGTCCTGATTCAAAGGGGGCGTGGGGCCTGTGATTTTAGGGCTGCTGAAGGGGTTCTTCCAGTGAAGTGGTTGGATAACAAATGGGTCAACTTGCTTAGTAAAGCCTATGGGATCATGCCCTTTTCAACAGTGAAACACTGAAAAACTGTTGCACTTTAGTACAGATACAATCAAGATGGGAAAACTAAAAATGCAATATTTCCTTGTTCGATGCATGTATTCCTTGGTTGAAATTAAAACCAGTGTTGTGTAGCATTTTGACAAACATAAACTGTATCCAATGCCCCAGACATTTTGTTGTTAATTTCTTTATAAATTTGCATTTTATTTTATTTTATCTACTGTACTAGGTATTTTTATTACATCATGTACTTAAACCTTTAAGTGACATCTCAACCGTTTGGTAGAGATCAATATTTTAAAAACCACAGGGTCTGTTGAAAAAAAAAAATATTGATTGTGTTTATGAGTCACCCAAGGGTAAAAGAAATGCAAAGAAAAAAATTTTCACAGGTTTTTTTCTTGGTGTGGTTGTTAAAGGGTTAAATAACACCTCAGTAGTTAAAAATATATTTAAAAATAGTTATTTGACCAAATAGAATTTAATCAGAACATATAATTTATAAATTATATCATACATGAATCCTATTTAAAGTCGTATTTGTTTGTAGGAAAACAATTGAAAGAAAGGTATAGAGATCAGAAAATATTTGTCAATTTGACTATTTTCTATTAAAAGTTAAGTAGAGCAAACAAAATACCCAGTTTAAAAAATGTATGAAGAAAACTTATTTTAAACCATATTTTAAACCATATTTAAAATATAAATTATCTGGTCTTTTGTGCAAAATAAAATTCATATATCTAAGCTAATACAACAGAGCAAACCTGTTTTTTTTATAATATTTCATGAGTAGTATCAGAAAGTCAGTTACCTGCAAAATCAAAACTTCTAAATATTGATTGAATAATGTATTTAGTGACACTTGAGTAAAGCATACAAACCTAATTTAAGTAAGAATAGGTATTGCCTTTTCAGAAATGTTAAGAGTAATCAATGACTGGAAAACCAATAGAAGTGAGTCAATAAAGATCAGAAACAAAGAATTGAAACTGGAAATGTGGCATCATGGATTTAAACTGGGTTACATAATTCTTGCTTTTGTACAACATATTTTGCTCATTTCTTTTTTCTCAGAGTTTAAATTTTTTATAAAGTTCATTGTGAATAAAATCTTAAATAAGTAAATGATGACATCATATTATTACAATACATATTTGTTTGTGTGTGTTTTAGATGTTTGCTGTTTTCTTTGTAAAACCTAGCAATTACCCTGATTGATATTCTGAAATTATTTTAACATCCAAGCATTTAACCTCACTTTGAAATATGAATACCAGAAGTTTTAGTTCTTTAATAACTTTGTCTTTTACTCTGGTGGCAAAATATCCTGAAACTTTTCTCTTTTTTGGATATATAATTTAATAATTAACTAGATTCTTAATAAACAGGCAAATACAATCGCTAAGTAAGAAGGTCATTATAATGTCCATGTGGATTTATGGTAAATTTACTGTCTCACTGTCATTCATAGACAGAAATGGAAGCAATAGAGGAGCTAATTTGATTATTCCATGCTGTTTTAACATTCAAATTCTGAGTTTCACATTAACACATTTGTCTGCCTTACACGTTATTTGTGTAACCATTTTTTTATTTATTTATCCTATTCATAGCACATAAACATTCTATTCAATGTCTGAGCTCATTTTTAGATGTGACATAAATGCAAATGACTTCCCTTTACAAAAGCAGAAGTTGAACACTTAAGAGCTGTGAGATAGAGCAGCAGAAAGAATGACCTGCTTCTGCTAAATGACACCTGGCTGCAGTGGAGAGTCTGTGTACAGATCATAAAAACTCAAATATTTCTAAAAAGCCTGTAGTGATGGCGGAAGAGGAGGACATTACCTACACATCTGTTGTATTCAAAGCTAAAAATAAATTACAGCCGAGGGGTAAGTGACCTTTTTTTTTTTTATTAACTCACCCTACATATAATAAGTTACTTATAGAACTTAAGATAGTCTGCATATTTTTTTATCTCCACAGATTTTCTTATTATTTTTGTTGATACATTTTAATATAAAACCCAGACAATTGATATCTTGTTAAATTAAGAGTTTCACTTTTTATAGTTTGAAACTATAACTGATTAGAAAAGCATTATTTGTTGTTTGATTTTGTTGGTTTCAGTTAAAGCCAGCTGGCAGTTCACTGGTAGAAGGTTATAAAGCCTGGATGAATATTAACTCTAATGAAAATGTTTGACGGAGTTGACTTGTAAATGTTTAATAAATGGAATTTCTAAAATGTTTGTCTTACTAACTCATAATCTAACTGCCATATCCTAAAACCAGAGGATGTGTATTGACATGTTTGTATGACACAATTCCCAATAAAAAAAACCCAAAAACAACTAAAGTTACACAATTCAATCAGAACTGCAACTTCATGAAATTAATGTCATCTTTGTGATTTTCCAGAAATCCTGTTTACATCTGTATAGAGGAGTTCTTTGAAATGTACAGTTACTTCTCTGACATTTTGTCTTATTGCTATCACAATCTAAAATATATTTAATTGGAATTTTTTATAATATACTAAAACCAAATAGTGAATCATTTTGAAAGAAACAAGGTTTTTGAGATACTACAAATAAAAAGTGAAAAATATTCCTTATTATGATGACAATACATTATATCCAGTGCAAACAACTGTCTCGTGTGGAAAATAAGACAGAAAAACCAGAGATTATTTCTCCTCTCTGAAACTCATTTCCAAAATATGCACCCCTTTTTGTCAGTCGATCACATTTTTAGTAATGTGCTAATCTTGCCACGGTTATTGAAGTTATGTGAATATATTTGCAAAATTCTGTGATAAAAACAAAGATTTTTAAAACAAAAAATATTATTTTTCTGTTTATTAGGAAATAATATCTATAATATAATAAAATTTTGCTGCCTATAAAATTCTTTTATGTCTTTCAGTCAAAAAAGAGGAGGAGGAAACTGTGTATGACAAAGTGAAAGTCCGCAGTGCAGCAACTGAAAAAACTAACTCAAACTGTAAGTTGTGAAACAAACATAAAAACCCTAGTCTTGATGTCAATACTTTGAATTCTTTGTTACAAATGGACACAAAAAGATAAAACCAAACATCAGACTTGTTTATGCAATGTTGACATTTTAGAAAATATTGCATAATTACTGTATGCAGCTATGCAATTATACTTAGAACTTTTATTACAAAGTCTTCTATTGGTTGTTGTAATTTAATTCAAGTATTTCCACATTATGAAAAAAAACACTTAATGTCTTGAGAAAAATTATCCATGGGTTTTAAAGTGAACTGGTTTTATTTTCCCTTCAAGACCTGATTCTGAAGAAATGTACAACTGACTTTTAATTGTTTAATCATTCAGCTACAAAGGAGGAGGAGATTGTGTACGATGAACTGAAGACAGGCAGTGAAAAAAGTGACAACACTTTTGACATGAATGGTAAGTTGCGATGGGAAATGTGTAAAGAAAAGTACAGCTAAAATTAAGCACAACATTAATTTTATTTCTTCACCAACATTCAAAATCTGACCAACATTCTACTTTATTTAATCCTGCAAATACAAATTGGAGATCATTTGAGTGAATGTTGCAGCAGAAACAAAATGACTCCTTCTCTCTATCAATTACTATATTATTCTTTACAAGTGGACACAAAATGAATGGGAATAAATTGGCTAGACATTGTTGATTATCCTCAGAGGTTCAGTTGCCTGATAAAAATGAAGAAGATAGACGTCGATGGTACCAGCAGGTGGCCTGGTGCTTTGGGTCTCTGTTTGTCTCTGTGGTGTTGGGAGTCATAGCAGTCTGCATCTATTGTAATTATAAAAGCCAAACAAAACCAATCAAACAATTAGGATTATTTGATTTTTAGCACAGTGGATTAGCACTGTCCTTTCAATGGGAATTTCAATTGCATGTTTTCCCTGAATGACATTGTTTGATATTAATTTGCTCATTAACAGTGTCAACCCTAAACCTTAAGGAGTTTTTGGCTGTGAATGTTTAACAGACAAATCCATTACCCATTGTCATTGCAAATAACTTTGGCGACTTTGTTTTGTTTCCTGAAGAAAGTACTCCGTTAACCATTATGCACACTTAATATAGGATCGCCAACTCAGTTTGTAATGAATAAAAGCATTACCGTCAGTCTTCTAGAGTCTCTTTATGTACAACATTCTGATCAACCTCACCATGATGTGATAGATGAAACACAACAAAAAAACACAAGTATAGCAATCTACACAGATAGGCTGTTGTGAAAATAACCACTTTTTTCTATTTGGATATGATTTTCCACATAGCAAGGGACCTTAACCAGCAGCAGAAGATTTTTTAAATTAGTATTTGTTTATATGAAAAACTCTCCTGATTCACAAATAAAAGATTTTCATAAGAAAAGACAAGTTCATTGCATTTCATGACACAATGTCTTCTGCCAGGGTCAGAGGGCCAAAGAACTTTAATTCATTCATGTTAATGAACCCTTTTTATCATTTTTTTTCTCTATTTGAGTCTCTCCAGCTTGAATTATGTATTATCTATTTCTAAATAAGTGGTTTTCACTGTCAGGTTATACAAAAACAACAACTTTGTGTATTTAGTCAAAAAAAGGAAAATATGAGCCAGCTGATTGTTCTACAAATGTGATTTATTAAAACAGTAGGAATTTGTCACTCAGAGAAAAGATGCTAAATTCACACTGAAAACGTGTTTTATACAATACAGAGTTTTATGCAGCAAGATCAAATAACATTTTTTCTAGCTGAAAATATTGAGTTTTTTTTTCTATCTCAACATTACTTTAACAAGAATATTTTTTGAAAGTATTGCTTCCTTGATGATCCAACTAACCTTCGTTTAACTACCAAATTTGAACATTTAAGTTACAGGGAGATGAGATCAAATCTTTTTGACAGAGTTGATATATTTGAGAGTATAACTTGGCTGAAATTTAGATTTACAGAACAGAAAATAGCTCTCAAATGTGGTAATGTGCTGAAAAAAGTACTGTTTTACAACCTGTTACGTTTTTATATATATGCAGTCTTAGTACGTCCAGAGTCTGTCGACATTGAGAGCAACCAAACGGCTCTTCTGAATGAAAATTACAACTTGACGAACCTCAACAACAAACTCACGTCAGACTTTGACATCTTGAGGAAGGATCACAACAATCTGACCATTCAATTTGAGAGTCTCATAAAAGACTTTACTGTCACAGAAAATAGGGTCATGAATCTCACAGAAAAAAAAACAGAAGCTGGAGTCAGAGAAGAGAAACCTTACAGAGCAAATACAAAAGCTAGAGGTAAGGCAGAACCTCAGCCATGCTCAGTGGGCCATTGATGCATACTGTCCCAAAGAAAATAATGGTATGTTCACAGTTCATTATTTATGCTCAAAAATAGACAAAAACAATATAAAAATTAAGGTTTCTTGTTTACTTCTGAATCTCTACTGTTTCAGGACGAACATGCAAATCTTGTCAGAAAGGATGGTTCAACTTTCAGTCCAGCTGCTATGCAATAAACAACACAAATAGTCTTGAGAGGAAAACCTGGGAAGAAGCCAGAAAAGACTGCTCTGGTTGTTGTTTCTGATCAAATTGAAAAGGTAATGAGAGAGACCTCATGCATAATTCAAATGTTCTAAGAACCGGAACAAACCTCAACATTTTGAACCAGATGAATACTTCTCATGTTCTTTTTTGTTGTTATTTTTATCTTTCTATTTCTTAGGGCTTTGTCACTGAGAAAAGTTGGGGCAGTTCAGGGACTCAAGGATACTGGATTGGCCTGAAATCAGAGGACAATAAATGGAAGTGGGTTGATGGAAGTGAACTGACCAATTCGTAAGAGACACATATTCAGAACTTCTCATGATAACAACCAATCATTCTTTTTTAACTTTTAACATTTTTCTTTCCTGCAGCAGCTGGATTCCACAACCTGAAAATGACAATCAATGTGTTATTTGTCTTGGCAATCAAGGATGGAAATCAGTGCAGTGCAATGAAAACCTTGAGTGGATCTGTGAAAAGAAGGCATTGTCTGGTTTAACGCGTTGTCTGTTTAAACCTTGAAATCAAATTTTAAAAAGGCTTTGAAGTATGAAAATATAAATGTCATATTATATTACATTTTATTTTAAAATACGCTAAAATGTATTTTCTTCTATCTTTGTAAAGAGTCATTTGGTAACTAAAAATGTTTTTTCTTGCTGTATTTGAGGAACATATTTCTGTTACTTGTAAGTTATTGATTATTTTCTGAAAGATATATTTTTTCAAATGGACACAATAAATTACATGGATAAAATGCTTTTTTGTTCTTTATGAAGTACTGTATTTTGTAAATAAAAAAAAAACATACATTTAGTGATTTCTGTTTTGGACAATATTCACATAAAGTGGTGATACTCCAATTCTCATCTGTTATGTTACAATCACAAAATTGAAAGCAATTCAATTTGATTTTATGACATAGATCAACATAAATCCATGCCAGACATCCATTTCAACATTCTTAACAATATATTTGAAAACTGTGCTATTTATCAATGTCCAGGCCCCTTTTATCTCAATAAAACCGGAAGCAATCAATTACTTGTAAAATTTCAGATTATATATTAAATAGACATTGCTTCAGTTTTCTTTAGTTTTAATTGGAAGCATTCAAATAATTCTCACATTTTTAAAACTCAAAATTTTCTGATGAAGATTTGCCATACCAAGTTTTAAAAGGTTAAATATTTTTTTCGGGGTGTTCCTGAACGCAATTTCCCCAAGCTGAAGCTAAAGCCTCTTCAAGCTTAGACTCGATCTAATTTTTCAACGCAGGTTTCTTTGTTCATATTTTTAATGTATTCAATTCTTTTTACTTACTAAATAAACGTTTTAATAACAGAAAACTTTTCGTTTTACTACTTTTAGCAAGAAAAACTTTAAAATTAGTTTTACAACAACGTTCAAATATTATTTTTCCTGCTTTACTTAAATGCAGCATGAGGCAGCCGAGTTTGAGACCTCTATTGCGGCTGCGCAAACTGTTTTTCCCCGGAAACTCCTTGGTTGTTTTGATGTCGGCTGGTTTTGTAGTCATTTATCATAAGGAGAAGCAAAACTTTTCCTTAGTCTGTTTAATTGTGTTTTACTGGAAAGAATACGCAGAATAACCTTTAAAATGGGCAGAAGTCGAAGTTGATTAAGGAAACTGAGTGGCGAATTAAGGTAAACATTACTTAAGCCATTAGCTGTCCTGTTCACTGGCTAGCAAAGAGCTCGTTACTCTGTCATTAAAGTTGGGTTCAACATGGATTGTACGGCGCTGGAAGTCGACGCTTTCAAATTCGCGAAAACTGCTGTAACCTATGACCAGAATGCCAAATATAATGAGGCTGTGTTTTATTATAAGGTAGGTAAACAGCTGTTACTTGTCATGGTTAGCATTTAGCTGCACTCTTCCTGTAGTTAAGTCCACTTTCACTTATTCACTGGATACTTAATTACATTTATGAAACTGTACAGATTTCTTTTTTATGTTTTGGTAACAACATATAAATAGTCCTCACAGTACTCATTAGTTGTGTTTTATTTATATTTTTTTATTTTATTATATTTTATTTTATTTTTTTATTGGGATTCGTGTGTTAAAGGAGGCAGCCCAGGCTCTTATATATGCAGGCATGGCAGGGTCCAAACTGGAGGGGCTCCAGGACAAAGTGAGTGAATACTTGGACCGTGTTCAGGCTCTCCACAATGCAGGTAAATTCACCTGACAAGTGTCAAACATGATGCTTTTCTGTTATTTCCCCTTATTCACCAAACCACTAATTGGTATGGTGTCCATATAAAGATCTTTGTATTCATATTCATATTTCCACACGTTGCAACTACAAATCTCTGATAGTCCAACACAAAGTAATATGCAAAGTTTGTCAATTGGAAGAAGAAAAAAATAATTAAAATTCTTTACAAATAATTTGAAAAGCTGCTCAAACTCAGATTGGATGCAGAGAAACATAAATGTTCTGGCCACAGATTCTCAATTGGATTTAGTCTTTTGACTTGTCAAATCAAACATACCTTAATACTTTAATCCAAACTCTTCTTCTGTGGGCCCTACAATATGCAGGAGGTTTATCTTCCATCTGGAAAATCTGCCCCAGTCTTGAATATTTGCTGCCTATAGCAAGCTTTCTTCCAATGAATTCTCATTGTCTTCCTCATTCCTGTTGAAGAAAAAGAATCCATTATGTGTTGATTGAAATGTGCAGTGTTAGTTTTCCACCCCAGTTAAAGATTTACATGTTGGCCACCATGTCTGTTTTTATCAGAGCACCTTTATTAATGCTTTCAGTGTCTGCTACAGTGCTGTTTACAAGATGCAAATACGATTTTGTTATTGCTTATTTTCAATCGTGACTTTTCTGTCTAATTTTTCCATTTAAACTAAAACTACACCTTCATAAAACACTTCAAATGATAAAACAGCACACTAAGTCCAAGATGTTCCCTTTAATTCCTACCAGTGTAGCTTAACAAACCTTACTTATGTTCAACTTTGACCCCAGTACAGTCCCAGAAGAGCGACCCGCTGAAGTCGCGCCATCAAGTGGATCTGGAGCGTGCCCACTTCCTGGTTACCCAGGCCTTTGAGGAAGATGAGAAGGGGAATGATGATGAAGCTGTAGAGCTGTACACTCAGGCAGTGGAGCTGTGCATCAAAACAGTATTTCTTCTTCTTTATAAATATTTGTCCTCCTCCCAGTCAGAGGTGGGAAACTTATCTTACCTTGTATATTCCTTTGTTCTGTTTTTTCTTCCGTTAGTCAAACGAGTCATCCGACCAAAGTCTTCAGATGAAGTTGAAGCAACTGGCTCGTCAAGCTTTGGACAGGTCAGTTCTAGTGCTGACATTTCCTAAACTAAAATGCTTGCACAAAGCAGTTCTAAGCTTTGGTTTTGGACCATCCAGTGCTGTTGCTTTAAATTAGACAGAAGTGTTTCAAAAATTTAACAAAAAGTAAAAAATAAATATTGCCTTTTTTGTGCTAAGACCATTGTCAATCACGTCTAAACTTTTTGCATATAAATTGTAGCAGAAAATAAATGTAGCTAAAAATAAGGATTAAATAAGTTAAATTAGTTATTAACAAGAAACAAAAAGCAGCAAGAGTTGCTTTGACCAACACATGCCTTTTTTCGCAGAGCGGAAGGTCTTAAAGAGTCGCAGTCCAAATCGAACTCGGCACAGTCTCAGGACAGAACAAAGCCCGGCAACAGCTCTTGTTCTGGTGGACCGGTGCGTCAGTTTTTCCCCCTTGGTCCAGACTTCTCCCTCCATGACCGACAGCAGCCTCAACCAATCAGAGCGGTCCAGTCAAGTGAACCCCAGGGTCAGCGGTACACATCAGAGGAGATCGAGGTCCTCAGGTAAGACTTAATGGAACGCAGTAGAAAAGTATAAAGAGTGTTTTGACATTTTTATTGAGTCCTGTTTGAACTTTAAAACTGATTAGTGATGATCTGAATCCTCTGTTTGGGTATGAGAGATTCTGCAATCAGTTTTCTGGTTTCTTTTGCAGGAGTACATCTACAATCAACGGCATCGCCTATGTGCCCTTTATGAGTGTGGACTTAAAGGAACGATTTGCCTTCCCTGTGCCCTTCTCGTGAGTCCTAATGATTTCTTTCACCTGTTTAAATTTTATATCAGCTTTAATAGATGTTTTGTCATTAGGTCACTGGTCTAAAAATATGTATCTGTAAACTAAATTTGCTTATCCATGTGATGAGCATAAAAGGCCAATCCTCTGACTTGCCTGGTTTCTCCACAAAGTACAAAAATGATTTCTAAACAACAAGATACCCGGATGCCAAATATGGAGAATCAAAAGCTTTGGTCTAGTTTAACTAGAGAGAAATTTGGATTTAAATTGGATTGTTGAACAAAGGTTTTTGCATCTTACTGCTTCAATTCAACTAAATGTTTTCCACAGAGACAAAACTGGGAAACTCGCCCTGTCACCCAAACAGAAAGCCATTTTCTCCCGCTGGGTTCGACCAGATGAGATCTGCAATAATCCCACCATGATCATGTCTGTGTCCAGCTTCAGCATCAAACAGGTCAGACTTTCCCTGATGTGTTTTTTTTTTTTCTTACAATACATTCTTAGACTAGAAGTCTAGTCAATTCAATTTGTAGTAATTCATTATTCTAACATTATTAAGTGTATATTTATATGCAAATTTCAAATTCATCCACTAGATGGTGCAATATCATCAGGTTTACAACTTCATAGCAGAGCAGAAACATGTTAATATGCTGAACTGAAATAATGCAGTTACACTGAGAATTGATGCAAAACTGACAAAGTGTCTTATAAAAAATTTGATTTTATAGCAACATTCATTTAAAAGTCTTTTTTTTGTTGTCTTTAATTCCCTGTTTATCTAGACAGTAGTCTCTGACTGTTCATTTGTGGCTTCACTGGCCATCAGTGCAGCTTATGAGAGGCGTTACAACAAGAAACTCATCACCAGGTACAAATGTAGCTTCTGGGATTTATATGAATGTTTCTTTTTTTCTTTTTTTTTTTATGTAGCCGCTGATATTTTATGTAGAATATGAAATCAGAAATCATCAGTTTTGTTCTCCGCTGCAGCATAATCTACCCTCAGAACAGGCGAGGGGAGCCAGAGTATAATCCTTGTGGAAAGTACATGGTCAAACTTCACATCAACGGAGTGCCCAGAAAGGTTTGACTTCAACCATACACTATCCACTAGCACTATCCAGGAAGAAAAGCAAATTTTCATCTACTATATACAGAAATTGTTTGAGGAGCCATAAAAATAGCTTAAATCCCAGCTTAAGAAGAGGCTTTAGTCAGTGTTAAAACAGAAACTGAAATTGTTTTCCTTTTCTGCAAATGACCTCAACTGATGCAGCTTTTGCTAATATCAAGATAAAATGTCTTGAATTCCTCCATAGTTTTGTTTGACCACTGATTGTGATCTTTGATTCAGGTGATTATTGATGACTACCTGCCAGTGGATCGTAACGGAGAGCTGCTCTGCTCCTACTCTAGTAACCGGAATGAGTTATGGGTTTCCCTGATAGAGAAGGCCTACATGAAGGTGATGGGTGGCTACGATTTCCCCGGCTCCAACTCGGTGAGGACTAGGGCATCAAGCTGTTTTTCAGTTTGGTACTGTACCTGCTGTTGTTAAACTTCTCAAATTCATTTACTCGAAGGGATAAAAAACACAAATGGTTCATAGGAACTGCTTACACTTCTCAGTGGAGTGTTGTTAAAGTGGAAATAGTGAATTTATGTGTATTTGGATCTTTTCTTACATGTGTCTACAGCCCGTGCTCATATGTCCAGATTTGACATGTTTAGATGTTTTTAAAGATTATAATTCAAATGTTTTGTTTTTCAAGAATATTGATCTGCATGCACTCACTGGCTGGATCCCTGAGCGCATTGCTATGCACTCTGACAATCAGTCATTCAACAAGGAAGACACCTTCCGCATGCTCTTCCAAAGGTGACAACACACCAACTCATACTGTTACTTCTGCAACACATCTTTTCTAATCTAACCTCTCTGTAATTTTTCTTGACTCTCTATGCATCCAGATTTCATAGGGGTGATGTTCTCATCACCACAGCAACAGGAGTGATGACTGAGGAGGAAGGGGAGAGATGGGGCTTAGTGCCAACACATGCCTATGCAGTTCTTGATATCAGGGAATACAAGGTTAGTATTAATTACTTTCCCACGCAGAACATTGAGTTTCAGGACATTTATGAACATTTTATGTAACATCGCAGTTGCTACAAATTAATTTAGTACCGAAGAGGATTAACTTTGCTTTGTTGTGTCTTTTGCGCTTGCAGGGAATGCGTTTCCTGCAGCTGAAAAATCCGTGGAGTCATCTGCGGTGGAAGGGGCGCTACAGTGAGCGAGATGAGAAAAACTGGACTCCAGAGCTCCTTAAATACCTCAACTTTGACCCCAAGACAGCACAGAAGTTTGATAATGGTATGCTTATGCTACTGCACACAGGAAAGCACCTTCTCACCAGACTTTAGGCTAAAATAATTGTTGTAATTCCCCTTCTTAAAACATCAAGGAAGCATCTTTTATCACCTTCAGAGTGAATTTATTTATAGAGAAATTTAAAAGAACCAAATGTAGGGCAAAGAGCTTTAGAGAAGTTGAAAACTACAGACAAACCACTAGAGATCCACGACCCCCCCCCCAAAAAAAATCAAAAAATCAAATATGTTAATAGCTAAACAAAAATAGTAACATATTAAACACATAAATAACTCAAAATAGAGGATTGTGTGCTTTAGAGATGTGTTATAAGATGCATTTCTTTAGAAATGATAAAACACTTGATTTATTAGCACAGAAACATTACATTTACCCTTTGCACCTTTTGGGATGAAGTAGAGCAAAGAATGTAAGCTAAGCTCTCACATCAGCAGCAATGTCTAACCTCATAAATGTACCTCTAGACGAATAGTTTGAACTCCCCATAAATTCCTCCTATGTCTTTGTTTAAGAATGTTCTGTTTTGTTTTTAGGGGTTTTCTGGATTTCATGGGAGGATCTCTGTCAGTATTATGATGTCATTTATCTAAGCTGGAATCCTGCACTGTTTAAGGACTCCTCCTGTATTCACAGGTATTTCTTTGTTTACAGAACAAATCATGCTTATGTGTTTGTACGAATGTTTTACAAGAGCATGTTAAACTAGGACTTTTATCTGCCTTCTCTATATATTTATTACAAACTAAAAACTCAATAATCTTGCATTTGATGTTGTTGAAAGAAAATCTTCAGAAATAACAATATATTTATTGCTTTTTAGCATTTTTTTACAGATTCAGGTTGCTTTTCTATATTTTCATTAAAATGGGTTGTGCCTTGTTTATTATATTTTTACATCAAAATAAAGGTTCAAACAGACAATAAGTTTGTTTCATTGGGTTGTAGGATCTTTTGTTCATAGACTAATGTATGTTTCAATTTACAATCTGTGACTTTGACCAAAGACATCTCTTATTTATTTACTGCCTGCAGTAGCTGGGATGGAAAGCAGGGACCTGTGAAGGACGTCTACAGCCTCGCAAATAATCCTCAGTACAAGCTGGAGGTCCAGTGTCCAGCAGGGGGAGCCGCTGTGTGGGTGCTGCTCACCAGACACATCACAGACAAGGTCAGTACCTGACTAACCAGCATAATGTCATATTTAGTTTTTATTTAACCTAATTTGCTGATCAATTGAGTTTATTTGTTTCTATAGGACGATTTTGCTCAAAACAGGGAGTTTATCACACTGGTTGTTTACAAGACAGAAGGCAAGAAGGTTTACTACCCAGGTGAGATTTTCGTTCCTACATTGACCTTACCTTTGACCTAAAGTCAAACTACAAAGTCAGGGATCTTTAAAAACTGTCCAATGGAGGAAACCTATTTTTCTTAGCAAATGCATTTAGCTGTAAAACCCAAACATATCTTTCTAAATAAATATTTCACTCCAGAAATAACACAATTGATTAGCACAAATCCAATTTCATTGACATTTAAGAAAAATGATTCAAACAGTGGTGCTGAGATTTTCCGCATTGATCACTTTCTGCAGCCGACCCTCCTCCTTATATCGATGGGATCCGCATCAACAGCCCTCACTATCTGACCAAGATACGGCTGACCTCTGCAGGAACACACACCTTCACACTCGTGGTTTCTCAGTATGAGAAGCAGAACACCATCAACTACACTCTGCGGGTGAGAACATTTTGTCCAAGCTGCTATTTAAAGGCTTGTAGTCTTTCGGTACATGCATATTTAAAAAGTAAAAATCAGCAATCCTGGATGGTTTTGGAATGCATTTTTTATTTGGGAAGTTATTTGGATGAATATGATTGAATTTAAAGTTGGTTATCTTTATTAAACAATAAAGATACTTTTGTATGAATTTAACTCAATGCAGGAGAATTAAAACCAACTTTAAGGACATTCTTTTGGTGCACTTAAGTTATATCATGAACTCTTACAGCAGTAGTTCTCACACCAGACTTGCAACCATAAATAATAACCCATGTTCAGTGATACACCCGTTAATAAGTAAGTAAAGTTTATATAAAGCACTTTTCGCAGACATAAAATCACAAAGTGCTGTGCAATAAAAGTCTTACAGTATTAAGGAAAGCAACCTACAAAAATCTAAATGGATTCATTCTGCTTTGAGGAGAAAATTTTTTTTTATTTTGTAAGTGTATCATAGACATCTAGTAGAGACTTTTTCACACTTCCATCTTCTCACTGTGATTTAAAATCCCCCTTTTCTATTATTCAGCCGAACTCGTGCCTGTGAAAAAAGCCTGAGGCTGGATGAGACAGTCGAGGTCTTTCAAGTGCTCTGCTGGGTGTGCACGTGTGACCCAGATAGATCTGTTCAGTACTTTATAATTAATAGACTTTCCTCCCTCACTGCAAACTGCTCTTGGGAGGAGATGATGAGCTGGATATAAGATCTGTTCACCCTTAATGATTGCACATTTTTCTTTGTTTAACACTGTTGCATTTGCTGTAATCACTTTAAACTTTACCTTAAAATCATCCAAGGAAAAGAAATTTCAATCTCCCTTCAGCTTTTGTCATTTTCTGAGAGGAAAACTGATTCAGCTCCTTCTTGCTAAGAGTTTTTAGTAGAGATCAAAGCAGGGAGCTAACATTATTTAGAGAACATGTTCAGGAATAAACTATAAAAAAACTTAGAATCGCAGGAACGTTAAGAAAGCAGAAATAAAAAAAAAACAGGCCTCAGATAATTTTTGCCAAAAAGAAGAGTTTGTTGTTTTTAATGCGATAATTGATTTTCTGTGTTTATGCAGGTCTACACTGGATGCAAATTCACCTTTGCCAAAATCCCAAATCCCTTCACTCACACTAAAAGGGTATGTTATTTATGCAGTTTGTGATTTGTTGTAAAGTCTATTTGCAAACTGAACATTTTACCAATTCCAAGTCAACATTCTGATCAACACAGATTATATTTGTAACTCTGTTCTCAGATCAATGGCCAGTGGAAAGGAGTCAGCGCCGGCGGTTGTGGGAACTACAAGGACTCATACAAAAACAACCCCATCTACCAAATAAACCTGGAGCGGCCCGCCCCCCTGCTGGTGGAGCTGCGAGGTTCCAGGTCAGATTCACACAACTTCCCTTTGACCTTTAATGTTGCTGTGTTGTGGCCAGGATGGCATTAACATCAATTATTCATGGAAAAAACAAAGTGCACCATGACTTCAGTTTGATATTCAGATATATATGAGCTGTTATATTGCAGATTTTTTATTGCAATTTAAACTGAAGCTGTAAAGAAACCAAACATGTGACTCAACATTATAATTGTTTTATGAAGAAAGAAATTGTTCTGTAGCTTTTACACATAGTTTTAGCAGAAAAACTTGTATTTCTAACTTTTTTAAGCAGTCATTCACTTCAAAGTGGAGATATTTAGAATGACTATTTTTTACGGTTTTGCTTCCTTGCTTGTCAGACCCAATTTTGATCAACCTTCAGATTTCTGACTTCACATTTGACTCTAGAGAACAATTAGGTGTAAAACAGAGTGGATTTTTTATATATATTTTTAAGAGTTTGTCAGTGTTTCTCTGATCTTTGGCTTCTTTTATCGGAATGGACTCCTGACTCATTCCCACAGTGGTAATGGTCAAAAATCAACTACTTTAAATTTGCAACACCTGTCTGGTAGTTCCCCCTGAAATCATAAGGAAGTAGTGGAGGTTTTCTTACAGCATATATCTTTCTTTAATAAATAATGGCAGTATAAATAATATAGGAGATGTTTTGGGTGTTTTGAATTCTCCTGGTTTGGTTTAAGTGCTTTCTTTTTCCTACAATCATTTACTCGACAAGATTTGACCGTGCTGCTACAGACAGAAAGTTTTGTTCTTTTTCTAACCTCTTATTCTGGGTTTCAAAGTTGTTGTTTTTTTTTTATTATCTTAAGAATTATGATGCAGATCAACAATGCAACAATAAGGTATTGTGACCATCAGACATGGATTTGCAGTGGGACAGTTAGTAGTTTATGGTTTACAAGAGACACAAACTAATGTTTTTATCAGCTAAAATAAAAATCAACCTTATCGGCTGTTCAGTTGGAGCTGATAAATTCTCTTCTAACATAAAAACTATGTTTTGTCTTTGTTCCAAACTTAATTGGAGTTTACTTATTTTTTACTTATTTGTTTGGTTTTTTTTACTCCATATGTGTTCTCAGTATGTGTTGAAGTTAGTGATCTTTTCCTCTCCTTGCGTTTTGCACGCTGCCTGCAGGCAGTACAGTGTCGGGTTTGAGATGGTAACAGTGTCAACGGTGGGTGATCCAGGAACGGCTCCTTTCCAGAAGAAGAACAGTGGAGATTACAGGTTTGTTCTCTAATGTTGTCTAACAACATTTATACTTATATTTAATTAAACTACACACCAGTGGGTTCTACTTAAAGCTTCACTCAAGATATGTCAGAAAATTTTATATTTTCAAAAATGGAATTGCTTTTACCATGAAAAAAATATTTTCAATATCAGCTGGTTGATCAATCTTTGTACAAAAAATAGATTTGATAAAGTACTAATTTATAAAATCTACCTGAAAACCTGAGATACACTGAATTCTTAAAGACTGAATAGATTTTTTTTTTACTTAGGTTATTGTTATATGATCAGATGAAATTCAAATTATTAAAATGAATATATATTTATTTTAAGTCCTAAGCTATTTAAAAAGAACTTTGTGTTGTCATCTCAGAACCATATCTTTCACGAGAGGACAGAAAGCAAATGTAATAATTAATTGCAACATGTTTTTGTGAAAAGTAACAATTTTATTAAAAAGAGCGAAGTCTCAGAAACACGTGTATCAAAATGAATACATTTGGACTGATATGGTTATTTAAATAGCTGGCTTCTGGAGCCAGGATTAGCCACTATTTTGCTTTCACTTCCCAACTGCAGGAAGCGCTCATTACAAAAGTATTGTTCCAATACTTTTGTGCTGTATGTGTTTCTATGTGTAACAAGTAAAAAAGTTCAAATGTTACAAAGACTTTAAAATTATACCTGACCTTTGATTTCTGTAAAAATGTTTTTGTCTCATAATCCAGAATTATTGCTTTTAGTAGCAGTGCTTTTATGAAACTGAACTAGATGGACGTATATATATTATTTAAGAGTTCTGGAGATGAATCAGCAAGGTTTACGATCAAATGGAAAAGATAACATCTGCTTAATCTTTTCCACAAGACATTAACTACAAACAGGCACGATGAGCTTAAATAATGGCTTTAATATTTTATGTCTAGGACAGCCGCTTCAGTTCAGGTGTAACACCTAAAATCGGACTTTTGTGTAATAAGATTTTCTCTTCTTGTGCTTTTAAAGATGCGGTTTCTGCTACATGGAGTTGGACCATGTCCCAGCAGGCATCTACAACGTCACCCCCACCACCTTCTTGCCTAAACAGGAAGGACCTTTCTTCTTGGACTTTGCCAGCACTTCTCCCCTCAAAGTCTCCCAGCTCCAGTGATGACAGAGCGCAGGACAAAAAAAACAAACAGAAAAGGGCAAGAAGGTAACGTGGAGAAGAAGGCATTATGGGATCTTCATAGGACTGCAGTTTAAAAATGAATGAAATAATGAGCGCTTCCTGCAGCTGCTTTACTTCCCCTGCCTTCACACAGTGCAGCCTCTCCAAGTTTAAATGGACAGATGGTTGGTTCTCTGTTAAATGAACCAAGAACAATGCCTAATTCTATGAAAAACAAAGTTTGATAAACTATTATAAAAAATAATCTAATCATGGGACACAAGACATTGGCATGAAAACATAAATGCAAGGTAGTTGCTGCCCTGGTCAGTTTATGTTCACTCATCATTGGCATGGATGTCAAAATACTTTTGGTCTTTTCAAGAGACATTTGAACTTTTTTTTTTTTTTCCCCGCCCCCGAGTGGAATAATTACCAACATACTTTACAGTGTATTTTATTTATTTATTTGTTTTTTATGTGAATCAAGTCCACAATTTATTTTTAACTTTTTCCCTAATCGACAGAAATGAAAATATTTACATACACTCCACTAATATTTGAAATAGTTTCAGAAAAACCAACAAGATCTTGAAATAATTCTGGGTGAATATTGATCCTCTTCTTATCATCTGCTGAATTACACCGCTCTCATTCAGAAACAACCAATCAGAGCCGGGAGGTGTGTCTTAATGCGGTTAATCATCCTCATGTACATGCTCCTTCTAGCTCACCACAAGGTGCTATTAGCATGGTCACTGGTGATGGATGATACAAATTTTCTGTAACGTTAAGTTGCTTCTCCACCAGTTGCACATTAAGCAGCACTTACATAAGGTTGATTGACTACATCAGGACCCTCCTCCTGGCTCTGATTGTTTTTTTCTGATCGGGAACGGTTTATTTTTGAAGATGACAGTAGAAGCACTGGCATGAGCTTTCACAAATGATCTCACATGTTACAAACAAATATGTTAGAGAAAACATTGTTCACAAAATTAATACTGCAGCTTTAAGATAGATGTATTATTTATTTCAATAGCATAATGAAACACTGGAAAATTAAATGCAGGTCTTTAACAATTATTGATAAAGAAGATTTTTTTTTTTACCTCTATTTCCTGCTTTCTTGTTGCCATTTGGAGGCTTAAAAACATCAATATTTTTCATGGGTTTTTTTCTGTCTTTCATGTTTTTAATTTTAAGAGTGCCTAAGAAAAATGGGTCTCATGCCATATTTTAGACCCAAGGAAAACAGGAAGTAGTCGATTAAAATTAAGAATGAAAGTGTTTCAGTCACATTTATGGGGGGATTTTTCAATGTGAGATCAATCTACAACTATAAAAATGAAGGATTTCACACATGTTTGTGTCCTTTAAGTAGATGTGTAAAATGATTGCCAAGTTACTGAATGTGTCCCAACATCACAGTTTGGTTCTCAAGTTCCTAAAGCTCATGAAGTTGCTTTACTTTTAAAAATATCAAAACAAAATATCAAAAAATGTTTTCTTGAGTTAGCTATCAAATCAGTCAACTATTACTTAATATAAAAGAGAAAAACCTGCTGAAACGGTAACATCTTGTAAAGTGTTGCCACCAATTATTTGCTAACAATGTCAAATGGCAGGAAATGTTCTTCTTCTGAACCTTGTCGTGGTTTTTAAACTCAGGAGCAGCACAGGGAATCCAGCATGGCAGCATCTGAATGATGTCTGCTCTTTGTGTCTCAGTGTGGTGCTGAGTCTTCACTGCAGCACCTGCTTCTGGCAGGTGTCACTGTACTGTATGTGTTCTACCTAAGTCTTTATTGCCAAGTATCATTGTTCTGTTTATCTTTGCTGTGCAGCACTTTTTTTCATGTTTATTATCAAACTACAGTTGTGGAGGAAATTAAAATGTGATTTTTTTTTCTCAACCAACCCTGTCAGTTAAATATCTGCTACTCACCAGGAGAATAAAACTTGGATCTGTTCTTTATACTAGATTTCACTCAATTAGGGCTTCATAAATGAGTGAATATTTTTAGACTCACTGGAGTTTAGTGGAGCTGAGATTATTTTTGACTTTTGAAATGTAGAAATTTAGGACAAGTTCTTCCCCACTTTGGTGAATTGAATTTGCTAAAATTTTATGAAGTCAGTAGCTCCATACTGTTACTGCTAAACTTCAGAAACACACTGCTCAAAAAAAGAAAGGGAACACAGTGTTCCCTTTCTAAGTGGATGAAATGGGTTTCATTTTATTTTCAATTTAAAAACTGAATATCATGACACTAGGGATTATTGTTTACTCAAAAAAACTGTTTGAACATTTTCAAAGAATGACTAGTCATATTACATGACTCGTTTTAGATCTGCACAGATGAGTCTCACCTTCTGTGCTTTCAGTTATGACCTTTCCATTCAAACTCATTAGATTTCCCAGAATGCTGCCAAATGTCGACTATAATATTTACCATACAGCATAAAACTGACTTTTATTGACAAAAATGTTCTGCTGCTTTACACTCTAGTTATTTTAAAGATTTAAATCCATGTTTTTGACTCACTGTGTGCCCCCATGTGCAGTAGTATGACTGGCTGTAAATGAAATATTGGCTGAGCCAAAATTTAACAAAAGGGTAAAATGATCTTTTTACATGTTTCTTTGAATTGTCCATTATACAGAATTTCTGTGTAATGGTTGATACATAATTTATTGTCATAAAAGCCATTTTTCATTCTATTTTATTTCTTTGATTTGTTTACCAGTGAAGAGGTCTACAAATGCAGCAGGACAATCTTGTACCAGCCTGTTGTTGTATGAATGTTGATGTAATGTTTGCTGAACTTGCACTAAATGTTGAATAGACTGATGTGATGAACTCAAAGTTTAAATACAGGGAAATGATTATATCAGTTTCTGCCTCCAAGTTACTCAATGCAGGATGAATTTACCTACTTTGATTATAAAATTTTCATTCATCCATCCATTTTCTTTACCCTCGTTTCCCTGGTGGGTTTTGGAGGGGTGCTGGTGCCTATCTCCAGAAAGACATTTCGGGTGGGAGGCGGGGTACACCCTGGACAGGTCGTCCATCTGTCGCAGGGCAACACAGACAGACAAGACACACACCCACACCTAAGGAGCATTTCGAGACCACTTAACCTAATGGTCATGTTTTTGGACTGTGCAAATACAGGGAGAACATGCAAACTCCATGCATAAAAAACCCAGACTGGGAAACGAATCCAGGACTTTTGCTGCAAGGCAGCAGAGATACTTACTGCACCACAGTGCAACCCCATAAAAAGTTATTAAGCATATTTCTGTCAAAGGGTTTTCTTTAGCAGAGTTTAAAATTAGGTTAATGAAATGTTTGTTTTAGATCAGTAAACTTTGTGGAATACTCCTTATCTGTGGCTCCTTTAAGATTCCAACACATTTCAGAGTTTGAGGTCATTTTAGTCATCCTGTTATTGATTTTCTGCTATGTATGGACCTGTCTCCATTTGCAGTTTATTTTATTTCAAATTTGCTGACGTAAATACTGTTAGGTAAGTCAGTGATTTTTTTTAATTTCTTTCCTGGTATGGAAACCTATTGGTTGACAATATTTCAGCTACTGTTCATTTTGTTATTTGATAGAAATGTCATAAAAATTTCTCCAAACAGTTTCACTGAATTTCCTTGCAGAACCACATTTCTGAAAAATTAGCTAAAATCTGATATTTTTTGTGACAGTTTGTCCCTAAGTATGTCAATGACATGTAGGAAGCAGTGTGGAAGGTCAAAGTTCAATGGCCAATTCAGCTGATCTACATTTTATTGCTGAAAGGCATTTGCTCACTGAGTAAGCAGAGGATTGCCTCATTCTTAATCCACAGGGCTCAATATTCTGTTGGCACACCCTTTGCTGCTGCAACATCCTCTGGGAGGCTTTTGATGAGATTTAGATGTGTGTTTATGTCTGGAAGTCATTGAGCCTAATGTTGGTAGAAGCAGTCTGGACATTGTTTTCATCCTTTAAACTCAAAATGTATAGCAATGCATTTCTTTTTAAGTTAAATCAAGTTACAGCTGCTGGGCTGATGAAAGCCCAGTGCAAAGACAGGAGTAATTCAATTTTGGCAGCCTTTAAAAATCAACAAGAGAAACAAGTAGAAAAGCAAAAAGCCTGAAGGTCAACAGGAAGCAAGGGGTCATTTATGTAAGGGCTGATTGTACTTGGAGACATTTCTAGGAAGTAGAAACAAGATTTTGATCTGTTGACGTGAGGATAAAATTGAATAAAAGTGTTATGTTAATTGGGCCAGATAGAATAAAACTAGACATTTGACAGAGTTATGTTTCACATGTCAATTAAATTTCTTTCAAAGGTTTGTAAAACTGAGTCTCTGTAAATATCCTTTCACAATTTCTTGCAGTGCTTGTGTTGATTACAAAATGAGTTTTACATCCAGTTTATAAAACAAAGTGACCCTGAAAAAAAAAATTGAATGAAGATCTCTGAGATCTCTCAAACAAAAACTACCCTGCACTTTTACAAGGCTGCGTCTACGTCAGGCACATCCTGTTTGTGAGTTTTCAAAAATCATTCTCAAGACGTTCACCCATTTAAAGCACAGAGTTAGAGGACAAGAAACTCTTTGTGTTGGACAGCTGAACTTCAAAGTGTTCCAACTAGATTAGGTTGGAGCTTCTCTAAAGCAGCACCATGATTTGGCCAAGTGAAATCTGATTGTCTTTTAATGTTTAAATTAAACATAATGACTTTATTTAAAGTAAAAGGCTTCTTGGAAAGTTCTTCCTCCAGAAAGGTTCTGAGGAAAGAATCTCAAGAAAGATCCTGAAGACAAAGCCGATTTAAGAGCAAGCTCAAATTTGCACTTCACACATCACAGAGCGACACTGCTGGACTCTTGTCCTTCCACTCAACTTTTTAATCATTTGCCTGGATGCAGGTGATTTGAAAGACACTCCTTCTGAAAAGTGTCACATTTCTCCGGGACGGTTGTCTGAAGATGCTGAAGTTTAGGCTTTAGCAGAAATAAATTCATTAAAATATTGATCTAAAATAATACATCTACATAATAAACTATTTTTTGAATTGAGTTACTCAAATAAATTTACTTCAATTGTAAACAGCAAGCTAAACTGTTTGTGCCTTACTCTGAACTAAGAAAAAGCCATTTTCCTAGAAATATTTTTGTCTTTTTGTTCTATTACTTGAGATTAAGTCCAGACTCTGAGCTTGAGGCAATGTGTGGCAATTACAAGATAATGGTTTTGTTTTCACTTCAGGACACTTCTAGGAAGCCGGGTAGGATTCTGGGGACATCTTTACCTCCCTCCTTTGTTCTCAACGTAGGGGTCGGGATACAAATCAGATGAGCCAGGAAGAAATTTTCCCCTAAAAAAATGTATTTAAAAACAAAAAAAGCCTCTTCTCTCTTTGGGCCTTAAAATTAAATTGATTAGAGGAGTAAGGCTTTGCAATTTTGTCAACTTCTCTTTATTCAAGTTAAATTGCACCACTTGTGGTAAAAGTAGACATGTTAAACAGTTTCTTGTTGTGCACTGAGGAATCTAAAACACGCAATGGGATAAAATACAAATGAGAAACTCGAGCTGTAATTTTCCTGAACTGCAGTCTGTGTCCCATAAACCATTTCTAACACTTAAGTCCTAAATATTAAACACATATCATACAACACAACATTGTCTTATCAGTATTATAGAGTATAAGGCTAAAGGCTAGTTAGTTGCCCTCCACTGTGTTCCAGCTTCCTTTAAATGATGAACAAAGCTGAGAACAATCCCTTACACCATTCTATAAGCCATTTAACTGTTATATATAATTCAAACCCAGGTCAAAGGTTATTTGCAGGCAGCTGGTTTGTAGCTTTGTCATATAATAATTATTTTACTGGAGAAAAATGTAACTAATTCTTTTTATCATTTACCAGAGTTTGTTATGACTGGTGTGAGAGTTCATGGGTGTGTGAAGGTTGTAAAAGAAGCTTAAATTACATCAAATATAACATTCTAAATGTTCTGTTTAACCGTGGGGAGTGGAGTTGGACTACAGAAGTGGAAAGTAGCTTATTGACAACCCAAGAGAGTTCCAGGAGTTTTTGTTTCAGAATTCAAGTCTCTGCAGAACTGCAGTCCCTCTGAAATATTTCCTGTTTGCTCCTCAGACTCCCTTGACGAGAACAACTGTTTGTCCCGGTTCAGTCTTTTGGGGACAGCTTTCCTTGTTTTTGGTGTTGCCGATTCGCGGCCGTCGCAGGTTGAGGAAACTGAAGCGAGCCTCAAGGCTGAAGCTCCTCTTGGTGTTGGAAGTCGAGACGACGTTTCCAGTGTCCAGATCTCCCTCTGCACCTTCAGCTCGGTCACCTGCAGATAGGAAGAAGATCAGGTTGAATGACGGAGAAAAGAAAAGTTCAGTAAAGGTTTTTCAGTTATAGAAATTTACCATCCTGCCATCAGGCATCCTAAAAGTTTACTTATATAAACAAACTTAATTTAACCTCTTTTTTTGAATTCCAGAAAAGTCTCTGCAGTTGCTCCACACAACGTTTTATCTGGCTACAAGAAAAACATATTTGGCTGTTTGAAAACATTTCCAGATGAAAAAAGGCCAAATTACTGCGTGACAACAAAAATAGCAACATCCATCACTTTTGAAGAAAAAGTTTTCAAGCTGCAGTCAGCATGATAAGAGCAACATGTCTGCAAGCAGCAGACTGCAGGCAAGCTAAGCAGATAGCTTAACTAACTGCTGACAAAAGGTAGGGAAAAAAGGGGCTGACATACTCTGCAGAAATATTAAAAAAGATTTTCCATTTTAAATAAAATCAATAGATTTTAAATATTTTTATGTAAAATTCTGATATAAATCCTATAAGAGATTGTGGTATTACTCAATATTTTCATACTATAAGATGCTCATATGAACCCAGGTTCAAATGAAAATGCTAACTAAAATGAAATAATAAAATAGTTTCTTGATTTTAAATGCAACATGTGAGAACTTGACTGGTGGCATCAGAGTTCAAGTCTCTTCATTCCACTGGACCGAAGGGATGTAAAGAATTTTCTGTCTGGATACGGATCTGCAGGTGGGTTTTTTCTCTGCACACGAGCCGCTGGGTCCAACTGTCACTTTGACAAATTTTACGCTTTAGGGGAGCAGGTGTGAGCCAAGCAGATAGCAGGAGATGGAGGACCTGAACTGAAATAGATCCGGATATTCCATCCATCTCACTTTATTTATTTATTTATTTTGCTCTGGTTTTGTCCGTTTTCCTCTCTGTGTGTACAGTGTGCACACAGAGCCTTGTTAAGTCTCCACAATTTTTGATGACCCTTTCAGGGCTGAAACTGTGAGTGACCTCTTCTTCTGCTGTAACTCACTCAAAAGACTTTTCCCCTCTTTTTTTCCCCTCTAAATCCAGGTGCATCTTCCCCACCCTCACCTCTTTCCAGGTCACATTCGGGTGACGAAGCGCCGCTGCACTCGCTGCGAGGTCCCAGCACGGGCGAGATGAGGCCGAAGTCCGACAGCGAGACGGTGCTGGGGAGGTCGAGGCTGCAGGGCCGGGAAACAAGAGCCGGAGATGACGTGGAGGAAGACGAGGAGGGAGTGGGAGACGGACAGTCGGATGAAGACGTTCCAGAGGAGGAGGAGGAGCCGGCGAAGGGGCAGGGTGACAGGAGCTCCTGGGGGCTGCTGGGGGTCGACCCGAGGCTGCTGGTGGAACGGGTCTCTGAGTCCTCCTCGGACATGAAGCTGCTCCCGCCACACGCCTCGTCATCAAAACACTCCGAGGCCACTGGAGAAAAGACACAGCTGGTTTTAACACACAGCGAGGAAAAGGTCAAAAGGGTGATGGAGCAAAAGAGATAGAAA